GTCAGATAGAATAATAAAGAAAATCATTTTAAAGATTCATGTTAAGAACTGTAGACAGACTGATTTCTTTTTAAGAAACAGTTTCTTGTGACACTTTCAGCTCACTGGAGGGGAGCTTTCCCTTCCCAATGAAGCCATTGTGAACACAGTGCTGGTGAAGTCTATTTTTTTTTAATCATTCTCTTTCTGCTCTAAAATCTGGTATTTCAGGGTTGTACCTGGTTTCCTAGTTCTCTGGGGTGCCTTGCACCATTTTCTCACAGCCTTCCTAACTCACACAGCTGTAGAATTTATGTTTTGATTCAGTTTCAGATAGCAGCTACTAGGTGGTCGGTTCCTCAAGACTGCCAGTATCCTTTTCTCACTAATGTCCTTTTTCTCTTCCAGCATCCAATCTGGGATCCTACATTGCATCTAGTTATCATTGTTTTCTTGAAAATTTTGAAGGCTGTATTAATTGCTTTGTGCTATGCTTCTTAGTTTGGGTTGGAGGATGTTGTCTTACAATGAGATTGAGTCTCTGCATTTTTGACAAGGTTCATATAGAAATCATGTTGTGCCCTTTTCATGCTTCACATCAGCGATTACATGATGTGAATACATTAATTACTGGGGATATAAACTGTGATTACTTGGTTAAGGTAGTTTCTGTTGGGTTTCTTTACTATAAGTCGCTGTTTCTTTTCCCTTGTCACTGAGTAAATATCTTAGATGAGATCCTTAGACTGTGCAGTATTCTGTTTCTCAAACTTTTACCCTCTGATTTTAGAATCTATTCATGTACTGGCAGTAATTATTGTTTTATGTTTGTTAATGGTGATTTTCTATTTTCTTTGTCTATTTTACATTTATTATTTCTTCTGTAGGGAAGAGTTGTACCTTCTATGTATTTGATTATTTGATTATATCTGTGGACATATTTAATAAATGAAATTCATATGGCAATACTTAGAAACTTCTGGAGAGGAATATTGATATTTATCTTGTCAACATTTTTTTTAAAAGGAAGAAAATTATATTGAAATATTGTATCATTTGTTTAACTTAATGAAAACTCAACAGAGCCTGCTGTTTTCAGTTTCTTTTGTGTGTGGTAGACACATATGCTTGGGTATAGGATGAATTACATTACTATAATAATATCACATAGGTTTTTCTATGAAGATTGCATTTGTTTTAAAATTCCTTTTGGAATTCCTAGGATCCAAGTTGTTAGTGGCAGAGCTTCAGTAATTATCTTCTCTTAGAAAGAAATCACTGTCTTTCTGTAGTTCTTAACATCCAAGATAATTTTTTAAAAATCATTCTATCAAACCCCTTTATTTTGAATTTAAAAGGCACTTAATATGTATTTTGATAAGCCATATATCAGCACTTACTAGCTTTAATAAGCAGTTTTGTTAGTAAAAACTTAAAACTTGAAAACTATTACATATAATTTGTGGTCAGACCATGTGTCCTGTTGTTTTTTGTGGGAAAGTGTTCTTTTTTAATTTTTCCAAACATAAAATAATAATTACTCATATATTAAGATTGCTCATTTTTTCCCCCTATCTACCTGTCCTTTTGTTTAACTTTTTAGCCTGTTTTTGTATCCTTCTCAAATTGAATTGGTTGACATTCTGTGCTATCTCTAAGTGTACATTAATTGTGTTTTAATATAATTATATTGTGTGATTACAACTCAGTAACTTGATTTATCACTGTTTTAACTCAGATATACCAAAGAAAAGTATTTCCTCACAGTGAACTAGTCAGTTTAACTGCCATTAGCACTTTAATACAGCATCATTTTCAGGCCTTTTTTATGTATATACAGTCAGCCCTCCAGAGCCTTGGATTTTTTCACCTGAGGATTTAACCAATCACAGATCAAATGTGTTCACAAAAAGAAAACTCTCTGTTCTAACCATGTACAGACTTTTGTCTTATTGTTATTCCATAAACATCACAGTATCACTAATTTTATAGCATTTACAGTGTATTAGAGATGATAAATAATCTAGTGATGATTTAACATGTACAGGAAGGGCTGGGGCTATAGCTCAGTGGTATAGCACTTGTCTAGCATATGTGAGGCACTGGGTTTGATCTTTAGTACCACATAAAAGTAAACAAATAAAGACATGCTGTCCACCTACAATTACAAAAATAAATAAATAAATAAACAAATAACCATATAGGGGGCTGGGGTTGTAACTCAGTGGTAGAGCACTTGCGTCACGTGCGTGAGGCACTGGGTAGTACAATCCTCAGCACCACGTAAAAATAAATAAATAAAATGAAGATTGTTTTTCATCTACAACTAAAAAAAATCTTTTAAAAAAAAGTGTATAGGAAGATGTGCATAGATTCTATGCAGATACTCTACATCATTTCCTGTTAAGTGACTTGAATATTTACAGGTTTCAATATCTGTAAGGGGTCCTAGAACCAGTCTCCCATAGATACCAAGAGAGGATTGTATGCCTATGTTTTAAATATTATGTATTCTGTTCTGTGTAATTTGTTTTTTAAATGGATCCGGCCAGAAAAGTTATTATATACATATTTGAGCAAAAATTATATGTGGCTTTCAAAGTTTAGTAAAATCTGTTTGTAAGGAAAGGGCTTTCCATTGTATTGTATTGAATTTAGTAAGGGAAAAAAGAAATAAATTGTGGAAAGGAGCATGGTCTTTTTTTTTTTTTTTTCCTTTGGTGTTATTGTCATTTCCTTTTGTTTTGAGAACTGGGAATTGAACTCAGGGACATTCAACCACATCCCCAGTCCTATTTTGTATTTTACTTAAAGACAGGGTCTCACTGAGTTGCTTAGTGCCTCGTTGTTCCTTGCTCAGGCTGGCTTTAACTTTTGTTCTTCCTGCTTTAGCCTCCTGAGCCCCTGAGATTATAGGCCTACACTATTGAACCCAGCTTTGTTTTGTTTTTGAGACAAAGTCTGCGTTTCCCAGTCTATTCCTGAACTCCTGGATTCAAGTGATCCTCTTGCCTCAGTCTCTTGAGTAGCTTCAATTAAATTATTAAATTATTAGCCACCTCACTCTGAAGGGGTAACCATATGTTAATACTACCATAAATTAAGTTTTGCATGTAATTAGTTATGTTCTAGGTGACTCTGTTGATATATTTTTTAAAATGCCACATTATAGCTCATTAATAATCAACTTGTATAGAAAATTCTTTTTATATTTAGGCAACCAACAAAGTAAGTTAGCACACATGGAAATTATTAACATTTGGATGACTGGAGTGTTTTTTCAGTAACCTTAGGTTTTTGGAGAGAAAAAGAAGTATCTTTCAATTTTTCTCCATGACTAGAGGCTAAAGGATAGTTCTAAATCTATGCACAAATCATCTCACTGTAGCAAAAGTTAAGCAATTTTTGGAAATGATCTACTAACCTCTCCACAGCCTCTTACCCCCGTAATTTTAACTTTTTAATATGTCTTGGTTTTTCTTTTCTCATGTGGTTTATTAATATAGTAGCATTTGTCTACCCTTGTGCAATTTTTAGATGCTGGGGAAATGTGTCTAAAACATGATTTCTGTTTTTTCAGAGCTAACAATATATAGGGAGTAACAAGTACAGATAAATAATAATAAAATGAGTACAGATAAAGTGCTGTGGAAACTCCAGTGATTCCTTTATTGTTCCTAGGGTGGGATAGAGGCAGTTTCTTAGCAAATAAAAATTTGAATTCACTGGATAAATTGGGTAGCCTTTGCTTGTGAAGAGAATAGCATATAAAATAGGGTAAACTAGAAAACACCCTGAGAAATACACTTCTTTGAAAGGTAAAGTTTGGAAGTAAGACTGAAACATTAACATGAACTTTTGCTTACCAGAAGATGGTATTTAGTCAAGGTTTTTTTTTCTTCAGCTGCTAGAATCATGGTAAAATTTTTAGTATTAGAATAACAAAGTCACATTTTTTGTGGTAGAAAACTTTCACAATAGTGGAGAATGATCTGAATGAAGGGAGCAAAATTGGAGTCAGGAAGATAAGATTAGACAAGTTAAACACCTGAAATGTAGAAACAGTGAAGCTGGAAAGAAGAGATTGAATTTAAGAGCTATTAGAAAGTAGAATTCTCTTGAAAGTGAAGAGAGTAAGACAAGGAATAGTCCATTCTGATACCATTGTCTATGAATATGAAGGTTCAGAGGCTAAGAGAGTGATAATCACTTAGTGAAATTCTGTATGACTGCAATAAACAAGAATAATTACAGAGGTTTCTTAATAGAATTTATTAATAGAATTTATCTTAAAAATATTTTTTAGTTGTAGATGGACACAGTACCTTTATTTATTTATCTTTGTGTGTTGCTGAGGATCAAACCTAGGTCGCCACACATGCTAGGCGAGTGCTCTACCACTGAGCCACAACCCCAGCCCCTTTTAATAGAACTTTATATCAAGCAAAATATTAGATAATGTTGATTTTTATGTGTATGTAATCTCTTTTTGTAAAAAGAACAAGATAGAAGAGGATATTAAAGATAAGTATTTAACCAAGTTGGGATTATCCAAGTAGGGCATTTAAATTTACATTGAAAGATAAGGAGGAAAATTCTCTTTTGTACTTCTTGAACTTAAACATTAGCTTGAGCATTAGTTTGGCTTTATCTTAATGAATGTACCTAATGTTTGAATTCAGATTTTTTTTCTCATTATTAATCCAAGAAGTATAACTAATCTGCTTCGGGGGGTGGGAGGATATGTGTGTAGTTCAGTGTAGAAAGTGCTTTTAAGTGCCTTAGTGACAAGAATAATTTGAAGAGAACATTTGAAGTAGTCTACAGTGTAGAAATCCTGCTGAGGAATGAAAAGGTCGAAACTTAGTTTTAAAGTTTAGGTTATTCTTTATCATACATGTTGAAACGCTATTTAACTAAACTTAAATATTGAGAATATTAAAACTAGAGTTTTTTAATAGTAAAAATCATGAGGAATTTATTAAATTTAATTTCAGTGCTTTTTTTTCTCCTTCCTTTAGAACGTATAATGAAGAAAACAGAAGAGTCTGAATCACAAGTAGAACCTGAAATTAAGAGAAAAGTCCAACAGAAACGGCACTGTAGTACATACCAGTCTACTTCTCTGTCTCCTGCTTCAAAAAAATGTTTAACCCATTTAGAGGTGGGTAGAGAAATGATTCTTTGTTATGAGTCAGATGGTATTTTTTTATTAATATTATTTTTAGTGCTCATTAAATTCTAAGTGATCTTTTATCACAGGACCAAAGAGACTAGCAAAGTTATTTTAGCAAATCTTTTTGTCTTCGATAGATAATTTTTTTCCCTGTTCAAAATAATAGAATATTCTTTCCTCAAATGAATTTATCAGTAAAATATTATAAATAATTGTTCTCAGGGAAACATTTTTTTCAATTATTTTAAAATTATAGAAAAATTGGTTGCAAAAATTAATGGGAAGGGTTTCTACATATTCATTTCCCAGTTTTCCACATTTGTTTGTTGTCCTCCTTCCCTGTGTCCTCCTCCATCCTTCTTTCTCCCATATTCATTTATTTGTTTATAGATATATACACGTATACACATATTGTTTGAGTATAACATAGGCATAATGCCCATTTACTACTTAATACTTTAGAGTGTGTTTTCTCTTTTTTTTTCCCTAAAGGATATGTGAGACATTCTCTATAATCAGTGTATAACTTGCAAAATTAAAAAATGCAAAATTACCATCTGTTCCCTAGATCCCATTTATATTTCATCTAAATAATGTCCTTTTTAGGTATAAGATCTAATTCAAAATAATATGTTATTCTTTCGATCTGAAATCATTCTTGTCCTTTATAACCTTGATGTTTGTGAGGAGTATAGGCCACTTACTTTATACTTGAAAGTGGATTAACCTGATGTTTCTTCATAATTTGTGTGTTTTCTTTTATGATGTGAATAATGTACACAAAAAAAACCCTCACTAAAATCATTGCATAGCATATCAGGAGACTCATGATGTTCATCATTGTTCACATCAATGATAATATTAACTTTTACCTTAGTTAAGATTTTTCTTATTTATTTATATAGGCATAGATATATGTCATTCTTCTCTTACTTTAAAGTTATAGTGTTTAACTGTTGTTATTTATTTTTATGCTTAAATTGTTCCAGATTTGGTCCATGTTGTCTCTTCAAGCTGATGATTGTCTTTTTGACATAAACCCATCATTCTTTGAGCACTTCTTACTTTTTGGTGTAGCAGGATGATCTGAGCCACCTTGTTTTTCTCTCTCAGTCTTAGAGTCATGCATTTTCCCAAGGAGCCTTTTTTCTTTTAAGTAGGGGGAAGCTATTGGTATACAAGTTAATGCTCATTGATATTGAGTGTAAGTTTGTAGGCCCTTTCAGTAGACAAAGCTTGGAAATATATGTTGATGTACATATTAATATTTAATAACAATATTTAGTAAACAATAAAATCCATGAGTTCACATTGGTAACCAAATCTTGGTTTAGCTGTTCCTATTTTACGTAATAATAACTTTCTTTGACAGTGAGAAACCTGAGTCCCATCCCTAATGTATTTACTTATTTGTTCACTTTGCTTTATGTCTGTCCCAGTCTTCCTGGCTTGCAGCCTAGGCTTGTCTCAGGCCCTGCTGGCTTAGCCATTGCTTAGCCCAGGTAAAGGAGAAAAGCGCCTCAAAACGACATCCTTCCTCTGGTGAACAATCTAGCCGAAACCTTAAAATCTGTTTTAATTTTTAAAATAAATCTTCCTTCTTTTACTATTACTTCATTGCCAATTTTTCTTATTTTCTTAGTGTAGATTAAGAGTTATAGCCAGTCTCTATGTAATCTTTAAATTTGTAAGAAGGTTGGAGGCTTTTCTTTTTTGTTTATAATATACGAAACTTCATACTATGTGTTGTTTATAAGAAAATAGGATCTATGTATTGAATGGAATTAAACATCTTTAGGGTATGTAATGAAATGACATTGTCTCAGTGATGTCTCATCAGAGAAAGAAAGGCTCATTCTTATTAAGTACACTTTTTTTTAGAGACTTGCTGATAGTATGTGATGTGTAATTTATAAGTTTTTGTTTTGTTTTGTTGTGGTTGGTGCTAGGGATCAAATTCAGGGCCTCAAGTATGCTAGTCAAGTGCTCCCAGCCCATTAATTTGAAATTACTTGGTTTCATAAAAGTTTTTCACTGACCAAAAGGAAGGAAATGAGATTCTAATAAAAAAATTAAGGTTTTTTTAAAAAAAGAAATCAACATAGTTTTTATGAAAATTTAATACTTTTTCCTGAAGTTAATTAAGTGGCACTGAGTCTCTAGGTTTTAGATCAGTTGGTTGATAAAATTATTAATCTACAATTTTTAGCTTGAAAAATTTAGTATCTAATACAGTTGAGATTATTTGCATTTTGTTCCTAATTACTGCAAAGAGTTCCAAGATAACATATTTTTTAACAGATGAAAGTGTATGGTAAACCAGGCACTGTGGCACATACCTGTAATCCCAGTGGCTCCGGAGGTTAGGGCAGGAGGATAGTGAATTCAAAAGTCAGTTTCAGCAACTTAGTAAGGCCTTAAGCAACTCAGTGAGACCCTAACTCTAACTAAAATATAAAATAGGGCTGGGAATGTAGCTCAGTGGTTAAGCGCCCTTCCCAAAAGTGTATGCTATAGGATATATTTCCTTCTATATCTTAGTTCTGAGTGTTTTAATAGGGATGTGCTTTTCTACATCAATGAGCTACATCCCTAACCCCCTCAGTTTTTTTTTTTTTTTTGGTGCTGGAGATTGAACCCACGACCTTGTGCATTCTAGGCAAGCACTCTACCAACTGAGCTATATCTCTAGTACCACCCCCCACTCCCTGCCCCATTATTAACTGCAAAATTAGCTTATACATAGCTGACTACTGGATTGGTCTTGAAATTCTTTACAGCATTTTGATGCTAAATCTCAAGTAATGTGCCTTATTTGGGATCTCATAGTAGTCATGGTAGTGATGGGGGAGGGAAGGACTTAATTTTGAAACTTTGAGGATGTTCCTTGATGTTGAAGTAAAACCACATTTTTTCTTTCTTTCATTTTTTTGGAACTTAAGGTTTCTGAACAGCGTGAATGTTGCCCAAAATGTGGAAAAGAGAAAGAAAATCAGTCCAAATGCCAAAGTTGTGGTATTAGTTTTCGTAATGATTTACAAAGAAACTGCAGACAAGCTATAACTTTAAATGAACCTACTGGACCATTATTAAGAACGTCAATACATCAGAATTCTGGAGGACAGAAGTCACAAAACATAGGATTAACAACCAAGAAGTTTTATGGTAACAGTGTGGAAAAAGTTCCAATTGATATTATTGTGAATTGTGATGATAGTAGAAATAATTATTTACAGACTAATGGAAAAGTCATTTTACCTGGGACAAAAATACCCAAAATCACAAACTTGAAAGAAAGAAAAACAAGCCTGTCAGACCTAAATGACCCAAGTAAGTATTCACTCCCTCTTCCCCGCTTTTTTGATTCAAACTCCTAGGTTCAATGGTTCTCTTATACCTCAGCCTCCTTAGTAACTAGTATTATCGGCATACACTATCACACCTAACATAATTTTACTCTTTTTAATATTGCTATATCTATCTAATACTTTCTATATTTTGTTTTAAATTTGTGAGCATGTTTCAGAAGTATAGTCTTAGTGTATCTTTGTGCCAGTTATGTAATATTTTGGGGGGTTAAAAATGTGTCCTCACAGGGCTGGGGTTGTGGCTTAGTGGTAGAGTGCTTGCCTAGCATGTTTGAGGCACTGGGTTCAATTCTCAGCACCTCATATAAATAAATAAGGTAAAGGTCTATTGACAACTAAAAGAAAAAAAATTTTAAATGTCCTCACAATTGTGAAAATAACTGACTTTGTTCATCCTATCCATCTTCTATTATTATTTTTTAATTCATTCTAATTATTTATACATGACAGTAGAATGCATTTTGACCATTGTACACAAAGGGATCACAATTTCTCATTCCTCTGGCTGTACATGGTGCAGAGTCACACCAGTAATATAGTCATACATGTATATAGGGTAATAATGTCTATCTCATTTCATAGTCCTTCCCACCCACATACCCCTTTCCCTCTCCTCATTCCCCTCGGCCCAGTCCAAAGTCCTTTGCCCCTCTCCCCCAACTCCCCACCATTATGGATCAGCATCCAATTATCAGAGAAAACATTTGGTCTTTGGTTTTTGGGGTTTGGCTTATTTCACTTAGCATGATATTCTCTAGCTCCATCCATTTACCTGCAAATGCCATAATTTCATTCTTTTTTAAGGTTGAGTAATATTCCATTGTGTATATATACCACAGCTTTTTTAAAAAAATATTTTTTAGTTGTAGATGGACAAAATACTTATTTATTTTTATGTGGTGCTGAGGATCAAACCAAGTGTCTCACATGTACGGGGCAAGTCTTCTGCCATTGAGCTACAGCCCCAGCTCCATACCACAACTTCTTTATCCCTTCATCTGTTGAAGTGCATCCAAGTTGGTTCCATAGTTTAGCTATTGTGAATTGAGCTACTGTAAACATTGATATGGCTGCATCACTTTGGGTATAAACTGAGGTGTCCTTTGGGTATAAACTGAGGAGTGGGTTAGCTGGGTCAAATGGTGGTTCCATTCCAAGTATTTTAAGGAATCTCCATGCTGCTTTCCATAGTGGTTGCACCAATTTACAGTCCCACCAGCAATGTATGAGTGTACCTTATTCCCCACATCTTTGCCAACACTTGTTGCTTATATTCTTGATAATTGCCATTCTGACTGGAGTGAGATGAAATCTTAGAGTAATTTTGATTTGCATTTCTCTAATTGCTAGAGATGATGAACATTTTTTCATATGTTTGTTGATCAGTTGTATTTCTTCTGTGAAGTGTCTGTTCAGTTCCTTAGTCCATTTATTCATTGGGTTATTTGTTTTTTTTTTTGTTTTTTTGTGTTTTTTTTTTTTGGTGTTTTAAGTCTTTTGAGTTCTTTATATGCCTGGAGATTAATGCTTTATCGGAGGTGCATGTACTAAAGATTTTCTCCCATTCTGTAGGCTCTCTCTCCATGTTATTGATTGTTTTCTGTGGCTGAGAAGAAGCTTTTTAGTTTGAATTCATCCTATTTATTGATTCATGATTTTACTTCTTGTGCATTAGGAGTCTTGTTAAAAAAGTCAGGTCCTAAGTCAGCCAACATGATGAATATTTGGGCTTACTTTTTCTTCTATTAGGCACAAGGTCTCTGTTCCAGTCTTTGATCCACTTTGAGTTGATTTTTGTGCAGGGTGAGAGACAGAGGTTTAATTTCATTTTGCTACGTAGGGATTTCCTGTTTTCCTAGCTCCATTTGTTGAATAGGCTGTCTTTTCCCAAATGTATGTTTTTGGCATCTTTGGGGAGATCACGTGTCTAGTGTGAGATAACTGTATTTATGTGGGTTTGTCCCTCTGTGTTCTATTTTGTACCATTGGTCTATATGTCTATTTTGGTGCCATTCCCATGATGTTTTTGTTATGATAGCTCTGCAGTATAGTTTAAGGTCTGGTATTGTGATACCTCCTGCTTCATTCTTCTTGCTAAGGATTGCTTGGCTATTCTGGGTCTCTTATTTTCCAAATGAATTTTATGATTACCTTTTTTAGTTCTATGAAGAATGTCATTGGGATTTTATAATAAGAATTGCATTAAATCTGTACAATACTTTTTGGTAATATGACCATTTTGATAATATTAATTCTTCCTACCCAAGAGCATGTCATCCCATCCATCTTAAGTACTAGAGAGCACAGGCTTGACCCCAGTTGTAGATCAAGTGCTATTTATGCCCAGTTTTCTGACTTGGATCAAGTGTTCCCACTGATAATGGGCTGTTTGGGGTTTGTTTGTATTTTGGTACAGGGGATTAAACCCAGGGCACATTACTGCTAAACTACATCACCAGTTCTTTTTATTTTGAAACTGGGTTTCACTAAGTTGCTGAGGTTGGCCTCAAACTTGCAGTCCTCCTACCATAGCCTACTGAATGGTTGGGATTACAAACATGTGCCATTGCACCTTGCCCACATGGTGGTTTTAAGGGAATAAATACCATATAAATGTCACATAAGCATAGCTCAATAAAATATTTGACAAACAGGACTCAATAAAAAGTGTCCCTCCCTTAAAAGTTTATCCTGTCTTTGGACATGTGCATGCATTTTTATTTTGTAAAAAATAATAGCAAAAATTGAAAACAATGAGACTGGTAGAAATTATAGACTATGTAGCTGTAGAGACAGAAGGGGAGATCACATGTAAAGTGTAATTTTCCAAGATCTTTAAGTGAATAAAGCAAGGTGCAAACAAGATTGTATGGTGCGGTGATGAATAGTTTTTACATAGATTAACAAAATTAATAGAATAGTTTTTACATAGATTAACAAAATTAATAAAAAAAATATTTGTTGAATGAGAGGAAACAGACACTGGAGATGGATGTTAGATTTCTCCAAATAGAAATTGTTTTGTTGACTTTACTTAGGAACCATGTAAATATTTTACATAATTATAAAATGAAATTACATATAAATTTTTTTTTGTAAAGCATAATTTAAGAAATGAATTTAATTGTATTTTGGTAGCTTGAACATATTGTTTCAGATGAGTTTAAATTAAAATAATATGGTGTGTATATCCACTGATTTTTAAGGTTAAGCAGAATTTCACAGAAATCCTAAGTCTATTCAGTAATATTGTTATTAACAACATTGGTATTGGGGCTGGGATTGTAGCTCAGTGGTAGAGCGCTTGCCTTGCACTTGTGAGGTCCTGGGTTCAGTCCTCAGCACCACATAAAAATACATAAATAAAAATGATGATATTGTGTCCACCTACAACTAAAAAAAATTAAAAATAAAAAACAATATTGGTGTTGTTTTTTTATAAACACATGTATATGAATAAAAGAAATAATTATATTATTGTTTCAGTGTTAGAAAAAAAGAAATATTAAAGTAAAATCAAGGAATCCAAAGTCCTAAAACTTTACATTTGAATTGGAGATAATGTGAATTTATTATATATTTTATTTTAAACATAAAATACATGTATCCTAACTTTACCTTTAGAAAGTACTTATGGTACACACCTGTAATCCCAGCAGCTTGGAAGGCTGAGGCAGGAGGATTGCAAGTTCAAAGGCGGCTTCAGCAACTTAGCAAGGCCCTCAGCAATTTAGTAAGAACCTGTCTCTAAATAAAGTATAAAAAGGGACTGGGGGTGTGGCTTAGTGGTTGAGTGTCCCTGGATTCAATCACTGGTACCAAAAACAATATAGAAAAGGCTTAGAAATGGTAAACATCCCTGGTATAGAAACAAACATGCGTTAAAAAAAAGAAAAAAGAAAAAGAAAGAATGAACAATATTTTTAGGCACCATTTCCTACTAAAAATAACCAGAGTTGCTCAGAGAAATGACTTTATTCCAGGTTAACAGTACAAATATGAGATAAACCTAGATTATCAGTCAGATGAGGAAGCGTGAAAGTGGTCAAAACTACTACAAAAGAACTAAAATGAAAGGACTCCCAAAGTAATGGAAGTACTTAGGTCACAAAGAGTCATTACTACTAGTCATTGAAATATTTGAATATATTAAAATCAATTAGTTTGTTATAATACTCCCCTTCTCTTGAAAGAAAATTTCTCCATTAGTTATCTTTCTAAGGGTCCCAAAGTGGTATTCTGAAAACTGGTAAATAAATGGAGAAATTAAGAATTTTTTTCTGTACCCCAGGAATACAAATCAAGTTTCATTTATCCCTAGCTGGGCAATGTAGGTGTAAGCCTGTAGTCCCAGATACTTAGGAGGCTGAGATAGAATGATAGAAAATTCTAGGCCAGCTTGGACAACCTAGGGAGTTCCTGTATCAAAATAAAATAAATGTTCAACATCTCTAGCAATTAGAGAAATGCAAATTAAAACTATACTGAGGTTTCATTTCACTCCAATCAGAATGGCAATTATCAAGAATACAAATAACAGTGTGGGCAAGATGTGGGGAAAAGGATACACTTATACTTTGTTGGTGGAACTGCAAATTGGTGCAACCACTCTGGAAGGCAGTATGGAGATTCCACAGAGAAAATAGGATTGGAACCACCATTTGAACCAGTTTCCCACTCTTCAGTATATATCCAAAAGATTTAAAATCAGCTTACTGTAGTGATCCAGCCATATCGATGTTTAGAGCAGCACAATTTATAATAGCCAAGGTATAAAGCCACCTTTCAACAGATGAGTGAATAAAGAAAATGTGATATTTGTACACAATAGAGTGTTACTCAGCTGTAAAGAAGAATGACTTTATGACATTTGCTGGTAAATGAATGGGTCTAGAGACTATCATGCTAAGTGAAATCAGCCAATCCCAAAAAACCAAATGTCCAGTGTTCTCATATGTGGAGGCTAATCCACAATTAGCGGGGGAGAGAGTTGTTCAGTGAAGTAGACAGGAATAACAGGAAGAGAGGAAATGGGAAAAGGAAAGACAGAGGAATGAATATGACAAACTTTCCTATATACATATATAAATTTCAATGTTGTGTACATACACAAGAAATTAATTAAAAAATAATAATTATGAGTAAATGGCAGAAAGAGGGTGGAGAGAAGGAAGGGGAAGGAGAGGTACTGGGGTCTGAATTTGTGCTTGTATAATTATGTCAAAATGGATTCTACCGTCATGTACAACTAAAAATAACCAAGAAAAAAGAATTAAAAAGGGCAGGGGATGTAGCTCAGTGGTAGATTGCTTGTCTAGCATGTATGACTCCCTGGGTTCAGTCCCTAATACCAAAATAATGAAACAAAACCAAAAATATCCTCAACCCATATTAGTACATTAGTGTGAAGAGGAGGGAGGGTGTTATTTTTTGGTAAGTCACAGAATAGGCGTCTTTGATAGGTAACTTCTAGCTCAGAATGAAATGAGCAGAAAGTTGGGGGGAGGTGTGAAGAAGTTTAGAATATAAGCACAGAGAACCCTTTATTAGACTGCTCAGGCTGCCATAAAGAATACCCAGAGTAGGTGTCTTAAAAGAAATTTGTTTTCTCACAGTTGTGGAGACTAAAGTCCAAGATCAAGGGTTGTATTGTAGGTTTAAAGAACTGCCCTTATGTGAACTCATAATATAAATTATGAATTTTCTTTATGATTTTAGTCATTTTGTCCAGTGATGATGATGATGACAATGACAAGAATAACAGAAGAGAGAGCATATCTCCTCAACCTGCTGACTCAGCATGTTCTTCCCCTGTACCATCCACTGGAAAAGTAGAAGCAGCACTAAATGAAAATATCTGCAGAGCAGAGCATGAACTAAGAAGCATTCCAACAGAATCAGAATTGAATACAGTTACATTGCCAAGAAAAGCAAGAATGAAAGATCAGGTACTTTTCACACTTGTTGGTTGACATTTATTTGTTCAGATTAACATTTTCCTGCTAGGATGTAAATATTTTCTTGGAGGGCAATTTGACAGTTCAGTAGGAGAAAAAAAAATGATTATTTAGTAATCGAGACTTTAATGCTACTTGGAAAGTCATTTCAGAAGACATTAAACAGTGTAAAGATAAGATTCATTTAAACTAAAGGCTCAAGTATAAAAATTCAGCAAGAAAAGAAGTGTTGACTTTACAGCGATATGTCTAAATATAGGTTGAGTGTCTCTCTCTTTTTTTTAATATTCATTTTTTAGTTTTAGGTTGATACAATATCTTTATTTTATTTTTATGTGGTGCTGAAAATTGAACCCAGCGTCTCACTCATGCCAGGCGAGCAAGTGCACTACCACTTGAGCCTCATCCCCAGCGCCTTAGGTTGAATGTCTCTTATCAGAAGTATTTGGAACCATAAGTGTTTCACATTTCAAATATTTTTGTATTTTGGAGTTTTTGCATGTATATAATGAGGTATCTTGGGGATGGACCCAAGTCTGAACAGGAAATTCTTTTATGTTGTATACATGCATTGTGCAGAGAACTTCCTAAATAATTTTACATAATGTGCCCATGCTTTCACTAAATCCATCACTTGAGGTCAGGTGTGTGGAATCTTCCAGTTGTAGCATGACGTTTGCATTCAAAAAGTTTCCAATTTTGGATCATTTCTAATTTTAGATTAGAGGTACTGAACTTGTATAAGGAGATTTCTTGTAAAATCTAGAAGACAGGGAAAAGTTATTTTAACTTATTTGCATTTTACTATAATGTAATTATATTTACTTTCTACTATAGGAAAAATTTCAAAATGTTCCCATGGAAAAGTAACAAATTTATAAATAAAAGATACACAGAGAAATATTTGAAATGCAGATGACATAAAACTTTAATGCCTATAATAGACTTTTTTTTTTTTTTTTTTTTAAGTTAGTGGATAGAAAGAAAATAAAGGCTAGGAATAGACAAAGAGAATATTCAGACACTACACCACCACATGAAAAGTATAAATTTAGTAAGGAAGTATAAATTAAAGAAAATGAAATATTGTAACTATATACTAAACAGACTAGTAAAATTAATTGCAAATCAATTCAAAATGATATGTACTGCAGGCGAAAATTCAAGGGAAAACATACGTTACTAATTTGCTTATAGTAAAGAAAAGTTACAGTGTCCTTTGGGGAAAGCAAAGTAAAAGCATACTAAAAAAATCTTAACCATATACTTTTTTTAAAAAAATATATTTTTAGTTGTAGATGGACACAATACCTTCATTTTATTTATTTATTTATTTTCATGTGGTGCTGAGAATTGAACCCAGTGCCTCACACGTTCTAGGCAAGCACTCTACCACTGAGCCACAACCCCAGTCCCTTAAGCATACACTTTCAACCAAATAACTAAATCCCTAGAATCCTTCTTAAAGGAATTCCTGCCCCCTCTCCAGTTTGTAAGGCTATATGTACAAGCATGATTAATGTATTAACAAACAACTGCAAACAAAATCATTGTCCATTAATATGGATATGAATGAAGAAGTTATGGTATAACTGTTTGAAGCAGCCATTGAGAGTAAAAGTTAAAACTCTATCAATAACTTTTAGAATTTCTACACAGTACTGTTGAATAGGAATATCCCCCCCAAAAAGAACATTTGTTATAAAATAAAATCTTATATGTTAAAAAATGACATATTTGCATAGATATGTCAGGGTTCAGAGGAAAATACTTGGACTTGGTTCAGATGGGAACCTGAAACCCTGTGCAGTGGCACATGCCTATAATCCCAGCTACTGGGGAAGCTAAGGCAAGAGCATCTTGAGTTTGAGGCTCGCCTGGGCAACTTAATAAAACCCTGTCTCAAAATGAAATTTTGAAATGGGCTGGTGATATATCTCAGTGGTAGAGCAGCCCTTTTTAAAATTTCGTTATGAGATAGGGTTTTATTAAGTAGCCCAGGCTGGCCTCAAACTTAAGTTTTATTAAGTTCCCCAGTACCACCAAAAAGGAAAAAAGGCTACAGGCTGAAGAAATGAAAAAACTACTGAAAGGATATATTTTTATATAATCTTAGGAAATGCCTTTCCAAACATGAGATAAAATTTCTTCAATTAATTGAAAACCAAACATAGTGTTCCAAAATACCATAAATAGAATTGGATAGGTAAATGCACATAAGGATATAGGGAATTATTTGACAAAGTGTAAATTGATCTTTTGTGTGTTAATTTTTTAAAAGCCAAAAAATAGAAACAAATCATTGAAAAGTGAATAAAGGAAATGAATGAATTTCAATCAAGGTAGTAATCAAAGTAGAGAATATGAAATTAAAATAACCTTTTGTTAACTATCCAGATTGCTGAAAATTTTAGAAGTATGACAGGGTCTCATCTTGGTTAGTGTTTGAAGATGTGAGATGTTGGGTTTGTAGATGGTTATAACTTTGCTGGAGGGCAATTTGGCAATAATTCTAAATATGTGTATGTAGTGAGCTGTAGAAATGCTCATTGGAGATAGAAGTCAGATGTTCAACATAGAAGCAGTTCAGTTAAATAAATGATGGATTTCCATATGGTAGAATTTTTAGTTGAATAGTTTTCAGACTGGTGCATTGAACCATGCATAAGTGTTCTCCAGTGCTCTTCTTAAGAAGAATAGATAGATACTCTGTGGAAGCAAATGGAACACTCAGATTCTAGATTTAATGACTTTACTATGGGATTCAGCTGGAACAGCTCTTAAATTATCTGCTTTATTTATTTCTTTCATTTGAAAAAATTATACTAAAACTAAGAGAACTGTCAAACCTGTCTAATGGGTTTCCATTAATAATTTGGCAAAATATTCTTGATAAATAGTTGGTAAACCTTGTGATAAACTCTTAGTAAACCTGAAAAATCAGTTTACAAAATCATAGAGATATATATGATAATCACATTTGGTTTTGTTCCTTTTTTATTTATTTTTTTTAGCACACATAAGACTTACTAATGGAGTACCATGTGATGTTTCAGTATATATGAACATTGTATAGTTTTTAAATTAGGTTAAACATGTCTATGTCTTATCTCCTAAAACATCTTTTTCTTTATGGTGAGAACCTTGGAAATTCTTTATTCTAGGTTTTTGAAATGCATCTAGGTTGTGTTATCATTTGTAGTCATCCCACTATGCAGTAGCACACCAGAACTGTTTTTACTCCTAACCATATCTTAGAACCCACTGACTAACCTTTCCCAATAATACTCTTCCTAGCCTCTGGTAACTATTATTCACTATAATTTTCTATGAAATCAGCTTTCTGTGTGCCAGATATGAGTAAGATTCAGTGGTTTTTTTGTGCCTGTCCTATTTCATAAACAGCCCTGCATGATGGGAAATGCCTCATAATCCCAGTGGCTTATGAGGCAGACACAGAAGGATCACAAGTTCAAAGCCAGCCTCAGCAATTTAGTGAGGCATTCTTCAACTTAGGTTCTCAGCAACTTAGTGAGATCCTGTCTCAAAAAATTAAAAGGGCTAAGGATATGGCTCAGTGGTTAAGTGCCCCAAGTTCAGTCAACAAAGTAAACAACCATAACAACATAATGATTTCCAGATCTATCCACATTGTAGCAAATGACATAATTTTTTTCTTTTTTCTGGCTGAATAATATGTCATTGTGTATGTGTACCATGTTTATCCATTTATCAGTTGATGAACACTTAATGTGTTTGTATTTCTTGGCTGCTGTGAATAGTACTATAACAAATAAAATGGTGCAGATGTCTCTTCAACATGCTAATTTCATTTTCTTTGAATAGATATTAGTGAGTGGGTTTTCTGTATTATATGTAGTTTATTTTCAGTTTTTCAAGGAATCTCTGTTCTGGTTCCATAATGGCTATGCAGATTTACATTTCCACCAACAGTCTACAGTTTCCCTTTTTCCATATCCCTGTTCTCACAATCTTTTAAGTCTTTTTGATGATAGCTCTTCTTACTGGAATAAGATGATATCTCATTACGATTTTGATTTTTATTTCCCTGATAACTAAGGATAATGAGCATTTTTTAATATAAATAAACCTGTTGGCATTTTGCATGTCATCTTTGAGAAATTTCTGTTCAGGTCTATTGCCCAGTTTTCAATTGGAATATTTGGGTTTTGTTTATTTATTTTTGTTTTTGTTGTTGAGCTATTTGAATTCCTTATAGATTCTGGATATTGACCCCTTATTGATATATAGCTTGCAGGTACTTTCTTCTGTTATTTAGGTTACTCTTTGCTCTGTTAATAGGTTTATTTATTTTTATTTATTTTTTATTTTTATTTTTTGCTGTGCAGAATTTTTTTAGTGTGAAAGCCCATTTATTTGGTTTGGCTTCTATTGCCTGTGCTTTTGGGGTTTGTCCAAAAATATTCTTACCCATTCCAGTATCCTGAAGCATTTTTCTTTTTCTTTCTTTCTTTCTTTTTTTTTTTTTTTTGCTAGTTTTATAGTTTAAGGTCTTAAATTTTGATTGTGAATACATTTTGAGCTAATTCTTGTATATGATTTAGACATAGAGGTTTAGTTTCATTCTTCTGCTGTTACCATTTATTGAAGAGACTATCTTTTTTTCAGGGTGTGTTTTTAGCCCTTCTGTCAAAAATTGGCTGGGCATGTTGGTGCATATCTGTAAACCCAGCAGCTTGGGAAGCTGAGGCAGGATGATCATGAGTTCAAAGCAAACTTCAGCAACTTAGCAAGGCCCTAAGTAACTCATTGAAACCCTGTCTTTTCTTTAAAGGTCTGGGGATATGCCCCTGGATTCAATCCCTAGTACATACATACACACAAAACACACACACACACACACACACACACACGCCTATAGAAGCAAGGGTTTATTTCTAGGCTCTTGATTGTATTTTCATTAGAATATGTGTCTGTAGTGTGTGTGTTTTGCTAGGGATTGAACCCAGGTGTTGTACCTGCTAGGCTAGCAGTCTACCACTGAGCTACATGCGAGCCCCAAATGTCTATACCATGATGTTTGATTACTGCAACTTGAGTATAATGCCTCCTGCTTTGTTCCTTTTGCTTAAGATTACCTTGGCTAAGGGCTGGGATTGTGGTTTAGCGGTAGAGCGCTTGTCTAGCACTTGCTATGCACTGGGTTCCATCCTCGCACCACATGCATCACATAAAAATAAATAAATAAATAAAAATATTGTGTCCAACTACTTCTAAAAAATAAATATTAAAAAAAGTTTACCTTGGCTATTCAGGGATTTTGTGGCTACAAAAAAAGCTAGGTCATTTTATCTACTTCTATGAAGAATAGTATTGGTGTTTTGATAGAAATTGCATTGTATCTTTACATTATTTTGGTTAGTGTGGGCATTTTAACAATATTAATTCTTCTAGTTCATGAACATAGAATGTCTTTCCCTTATTTTATGTTCTCTTTAATTCTTTTGTTTTTCTTCTAACTTTATTTATTTTTATGTGCTGAGGATCAAACCCAGGGCCTTGCATGTGCAAGGTGAGCACTGTACCGCTGAGCCATAATCCCAGCCCCTCTCTTTAATTCTTTTCATCATTCTTTTTTTCCCCCACAGTAGAGATCTTTCACCTCTTTGGTTAAATTTATTCCTAGGTATTTATAATATATATTTTATTTTTATTTTTTGGAGCTACTGTAAATAGTATTGCTTTCTTGATTTCTATTTCAGATAATTCACTTGGGGCATAGCAGTACAACTAAATTTTGTGTTAGATTTTATATGCTGCAACTTTGTTAAGTTTGTTTATTCTAATTTTTGTGTTTGTGTGTGAAGTCTGGGTTTTCTATACATTTTGTTTAAATCTGTATTTTGTTTTAAATCTGTATTTTGTTCTATGACATGTATCATAGAGAGGTCTTCTATCTGTTAGACATATTGCCCCCAGCCCCACCCCCGCTCATTTTCTGTCAAGATCATGTTTTGTCCTTGACATCATAATAGTTTTTACAGGTTATGGATCCCCAATCCAAATGCTAATCTTAAATGCTCCAAAGTCTGAAACTAGTGTTTTGGTTTGGTACTAGGGATTGAAACCTTGGGCACTTCACCACAGATCTACATCCCTAGCCCTTTTATTTTTTATTTATTTATTTGTTTGTTTTGTTTTGAAATAGGTTCTCAGTAAATTACTCATGGCCTCTCTAAGTTGCTGAGACTGGCCTTGAACTTGTGATTCTCCCCATTCAGTCTTCTGAGTTGGTGGGACTACAGGTAGGAGCCACCACTCTTGGCAAGTCTGAAACTTTTTGAGTACTGATGATCCTCCAGAGTTCTTGATTTTTGATTTATAGATTAAGAGTGCTCAACTAGTAAAAGCTATGCAGATATTCCCAAATCCAAAAAACTCTGAAATCTGAAACACTTCTGATTCCAAGCACTTCAGATAATGGTATATTCAACCCATAATGTAATTACTTTTAATGAAAATATAGAATTATGTAAAATACTGTGTTATGCTTAATTTACATTTGGAAGTGACTGTGAAATCTAAATTAACAGATCAAGTAATTTAAAATATGTAATGCCTTCTTTTGTAATACAAATAACCATTCCCTAATTGATTATTTTCTAAAGAATTAATGATATAGTCCAAGTATTAACTTCTGCCAGCATTTTACTGTACATAAAGCGGTCTTCTAAGCTGCTTGTGTCTGTTATTCATTTAGGCAGATACTTTTATTATTTTTCATTTTAAGAAACTGAAGGGAAGTTTTACAAGATCAGACCATTAAAAGGTGATTGATTTGGCTGTGATTTGATCCCAGGCAGTGTGATTCCCACAGTATTCTTCCTAACTGCTCTGCTAATACTTTTGGATTTCAAATAATAACTAGAGGTTGATAAAATAGAAGGGATTTACTTTATTTATTTATTTATTTATTTTTATGTGGTGCTGAGGATCCAACCCAGTGCCTCACATGTGTGAGGTGAGCGCTCTACCCCTGAGCCACAGCCTCAGCCCCAGAATGGATTTACTTTTATAAAGAAATTTTCTGTTTCATCTAATATTGTTTAAGGATAATTATTTTTATGTTGTGATAATTACGTTCCTTATATTAGGTGTTCTTTGTATGTGTACTGAATTTGTAGCCTTGTTATGGCAACTTACTAAATGAAAATTTTCTTTTCCTTTTCAGTTTGGCAATTCTATCATCAGCACACCTCTAAAGCGTCGTAAAGTGGCTTCTCAAGAAACTTTAGTTAATTCTTTATCTTTAAGCTGCCAAAGTTCGTTTGAAAGTGTCATTTTAAATTGTCGAAGTATACGAGTAGGAACACTGTTCCGACTATTAATAGAGCCTGTTATTGTAAGTATATTCTTTAGCTATTTGTTGTACTGATTACAAGATAAATTCCATTGCAAAACCTGATCTATAATATTTAAAATTTGTAAGCTAAATTATCTAAGTTAATAGAACATCAAAATTATTTGAAGATTTCAGATTGCTTTAAGAATATATAAATAGTAATGCCTCACCATTAAAAATTACTGAGTAAAAATTTATCATAATGTTAATGTCCAGACTAATGGCAGATTCACTATAAGAAAATAACCAGTGAATTAGAAAACATTCCAAAATTTAGTAGTTTTATTCTCATGCCAGCTTATTACTTAAAAAGGATATGTTAAAGAACTATAGTAAGAGAAAAAAGAATCCAAAAGCTTCAAGTTCCGCTTAAAATTTATGTAGCGTCAAAAGTTTTAGAAAGAGGTTCTTGAACTATATAGTGAACATCTAAGAAGTATATACTTTTAGACTAGTTTAATATTCACAATGCCTGATGTATTTTTTATAGTACCTTTATCTTCCTTATCATACCTGTCTGCCCATCATTTTACTGTCACCAGGCCCATTCATGTATTCATTTTCTCTTTGAAATGTTAATTTCCTTAGCAGTGTTCTTTTTCTTTTTCTTCTTTTTTTTTTAAAGAGAGAGAGAGAGAATTTTTTAATATTTATTTTTTAGTTTTCGGCGGACACAACATCTTTGTTTGTATGTGGTGCTGAGGATCGAACCCGGGCCGCACGCATGACAGGCGAGCGCGCTACCGCTTGAGCCACATCCCCAGCCCAAGCAGTGTTCTTTTTCATCATTTTCTTTTTCGTGTTTTCTGATATTGTTCATAGATTTATCTTCCTAAAGCACTGTACTTACTCTGTAGACGTTTGCTTTATAATGTCTTAACTTGTCTCTGATTATTTGTTCCTATCTGTGTTTTCAAACCCTGTCTCTTGTATTATCCTTTATACATAAAGCAGTATCTGTAAAAGAACATATTATAAACCAATGGAAAACTTAAAAGGGAGTTTTATTCTCTTTTTATGTTAAGTAATAATTATTTTTTTATAAAGACATAATTTTTATTTCTGGTAGAGGTTCATGATCCTAAGAAACAATGTGATCCAAAACAAATACATAAACACACACACACAAAATCTACAACTTAGTTTGTAGGCTCAAATGAAATGTAAACATTATTTCTTCCTCTTTATTTTCTTCCTTTTTTTTTTTTTTTGTTTTGTTTTTTGGTAGTGAGGATTGAATGCACGCTTATATATGTTGGGCAAGCGCTCTGCTACTGAACTATATCCCCAAATTTTTCTTTATTGAGACAGGCTCTTACTAGTTGCCCAGTCTGACCTTGAGCTTGTGATCCTCCTACCTCAGCCTCCCTAGTGGCTAACATTGCAGCCTTCGTCTAAATGCCTGGCTGTGAATATGATTTCTTAGTAGAGCAAAGCTCCATGGGAAGCCAGTAGTTGTCTTCTATCAAAACAATTATCACAACTTAAAAACTAAAAGTTTTATATAAGTACCCTCAGAGTTTTAAAGCAAATGATATATAGTTTATTTGCCCTTTATTGTCCAGTAACATTGTAATAAATGTTATGTTTTCTAGTGATTCCTAAGACAGGTTTTCACATACAGATAGTCTTTCTTGATTTCTATAATTTAACAAAAATGTTACTCTGTGTACTTTATATCCCCAAAATTTCCTGGGGTACTCTAGGTTTTATGACTTTCCCCCACATTAGCACTATTATAACTTTTCAGTATGATGAATGAGCTTTTGCTGGTGATTTATACATTTAATGAAAGTTGCATATTTAGTTTCGAAGCTCTCCTTTAAGGTATGGTGATGCATACCTGTAATCCCAGTAGCTCTGGATGCTGAGGCAGGAGGATTGCAAGTTCAAAGTCAGCCTCAGCAATTTAGTGATACCCTGTCTCAAAAAATTAAAAGGGTTGGGGATGTGACTCAGAAGTTAAGTGCCCCAGGGTTCAATCCTGGTACAAATTTTAAAGAAAGAAAGGAAGGGAGGTAGGGAGGGAGGGAGGGGAAAAGAATTACATTAAAATTTGTTGGGCTGAGTGGTATATGCCTCTAATTCCAGCTACTTGGGGGAGTATAAAGCAGGAGAATCCCAAGTTTGAGGCAAGCCCCATCAATTTAGCAAGACCCTTTCTCAAAATTAAAAGGACTGGGGATGTAGCTCAGTGTTAAAGTGCCCCAGGGTTCAATCCCTGGTGCCAAAAAAAAAAAAAAAAAAAAATTAACAATTTGGTGTTTTTTTTTTTTAATAAAAGTTATAGGTTGAGTTATATATGCTACAGTGAGTTGAAACTAGCTTTGTAAATTTAATGGAAAAAAACAAAAGATAGTGTATATAATATAAAATGTACTGTTTAAATTTTTAAAATGAAAATGCTAACTGAAATAATTCTGGAAAATGAAATGTAGAAATGTGCTGTGTGATAGTAATTTATAGATTACATGTTAGAAATGCCATGCTAAATATAAAATCTTTTCTCATTTTTTCAATGAAAGACATAAAATCAAGAATTTTGATCATTTTAATTTTAGAAACTTTAGAAATATAGATGAAATAGCCCAATGTCTACTTAAAATATTAATATTTATGCTTAATTACATGCAGATTTTTAGATGACATAAATATTTTATGTCATTATTATTGCTGCTCTTTGAATCTTGTAGCATTTTTCTGGAGCATAGAATTTTAGTTTCCTTGTATAGTAGAAGCTTCCAAGCTATAAGTATCCATTCTTGAAAAGCTCAAATAATGTGTTACTTTCCAGTGAAACCAATCAATATATTAAGTTTGAAATGCAATTGTTAAAATATGCATATGACATTCTAGACTGCAATTATTCTAGTAATTACTAAATTTATGTTTTCCTATTTTCTTTTTTACATCATGAAAATTTTCTAACTAAAGTGTTAAAGACTTCTACAGTGAATATACTTCAGTTAAGTTATACTGTTAGTAGCATATTGTACAAGTTGAGTATCTATAATCCAAAAATCCAAAATGTTCTGATATCCAAAACTTGAGTGCTGACATGATACTCAAAGTTTTGGATTGCCTGGTATGGTGGCCCGCACCTGTATATCCGGCTACTCTAGAACTTGAAACAGGTGGGTGGGGGGGACACATAACTTGAGCCCATGAGCTTGAGATGAGATGAGCTTAGGCAACATATTGAGACCCGCATCAAAATAAAGAAATATGTAAAGTTGTCTTGGGGCTGAGGGTATAGCTTCAGGGTAGAATTCCTGCTTATCATGCACCAAGAATTTTTGGATTTTGACCATTTACAATTTCAGATTTGCACATTACAGATGCTTGAACAGTAAAATCCAGGCAAATATTCCAAAATTCAAAAATCTTCAAAATCTGAAATACTTTTAGTCCCAAGCATTTTGACAACGTGTATTTGCTTTTCTTCCCTATCTATATCGATTCATCTTATTTTTTAAGTGGACTTAAAAGTACTTACCTCCTTTTTTGATTTTCTTAACTCCTGTAAATATGCAAAAATATTAATTTAGGTTTTGTCAGGCTTAATATTAAATCTTCACATTGAAATGATTAATTTAAAACACTGTCATACCACTTATAATAACTGATTCAGGCAAGGATTTTCAGTGGGTGCTAAAACCATTGGGTAAATGATGAGAAGGGACCAGAGTTCTGACTCAGTGGTAGAGCGCTTCCCTAGCATACGTGAGGTACTGGGTTTGATCCCAGCACCACATAAAAATAAACAAATAAAATAAAGGTATTGTGTCATCTACAACTAAAAAAATATATTTAAAAAGATGATGAGAAAACAGAACTTTCACAAGCCTTCAAGAATTTTTTCTCAAGAGTATTTAATTGCAAAGGGAATGTGTGTGTGTGTATATATAGAGGAAAAACAAATGGAAATGTTAAATGGATCAATCAATTTTATATATATATAGATTATATATATATTTATATATATAGATTATATATATATATAATCTTTCAAGTGGAAAAACCTACCAGTCACTGCCTTAGTTTAAGTGATTAAATTTGTATCATTAATGAAACTGACACAGCTTGTCTTCTGATGTGAAATTATGGGAAGTATCAGCCCATCATCTATGTGCAGTTTGTGTGGAAATATGTGGCCTGAATTTTAAAAATGAAGAAACACAATCCGATACATGTTAGATGTTTTGCAGAACTTAGCCTAGGTTTCTTAAAGGCCGGGCCAGGAAGAACAGAGAGAGACTACTGTAGAATGGAATAGATATGAGATCAATGTAATATAACCTTGATAGATTCATGGATTTGGGCAAAGTTGAAACAAGGATAAAGGCAAATTTTGAGCAGTTAGTGAAATTTAAAGTATGAACTTTTGAATTAAGTTAACCTTGATTTCTAAGATGTGCTAATGTTTTGGTTGCACAGGATAATGTCTTGTTCTTAGGAAATATATGCTGAAGGATTTGCAAATGAAATGCCTGCTTTATGAAGGTTGAGCAAAAGGGAAGTGACCATATGTGTGTGTGTGTGTGTGCGCACACACACACACACACACACACCACAAAGTAATGCAGTGGATGTGGCAAAATATTAACAGTAAATCTGGGTAAGGAGTATTCAAGTGTTCATTATAATAATATGTTAGTTTCTCTAGAGACAAAGTAGCAATATAAAAAAAATTCTAAGTACTTGGAAAAAAAAGTAAAGCCCTACTTTCTGAGAGATATTTTTTTGGGAAAATATTTCATCTTAAGTTTAAGCACATAGTAAATGACTTGGTTTCTCTTCCTTCTAAAGACGTAAGGTCCATGTAGTCTATCATATAAAGTATGTGTAAAATCTTTATAAGTCTGTGATCAGTACTAATTATCTTATTTTTTTTTTTAGTTTTGTTTAGATTTTATCAAGATACATCTAGATGGTAAGCTACTTTATATCTGTTTATTCACTAAAGCATTGTGTACACTAAAGTACTTGATAGGAATAAAAGGTTAAATGGTATTTATTGAATTCATTAAGATGATTATTCATTATTATCTGTCTTCTTAACAAAGGGCATGTATCTTGGTGTAATTTCTTTCTACAACACAACAAAGCATAATCTTTTAGAGCCTCTTATTTTGGGAAAAATATAGAAATTTTCTTAATATACTTATGGAATAATAAATAGACCTTTAAATTTAAAGTTGTATTTTCTTCATTCATGATTTTTGACCTTGTAAAAATTGATTGATCCATTTAACATTTCCATTTGTTTTTCCTCTAGAACCAGAAAGTGATCCTGTAGAGATTATTTTAAATACCTCTGATCTAACTAAATGTGAATGGTGTAATGTACGAAAATTACCAGTCGTGTTTCTTCAGGCAATACCAACAATTTATCAAAAACTGAGCATGCAATTGCAAATGAATAAGGAGGATAAAATTCGGAATGATTGTAAAGGAATAAATAAGTTATCAAGTAAGTTATGTGGAACAGAGTTTAAGACATAATCAGTTGAATAGCAGAATGTGCATGCACTAGAAAGTGGAAGACTTTATGATTAGTACAGAATGAAGGCCTAATGAAGCAATATTTCTTAGTGCACTAATTTCCTTTATTAGAATATAATACAGTGGCTACCTTGTAAAACAGATATTACTGCCTTCATTTTGTAGTTGAGGAAAATCCCACTCAAAGTGGAAGAGCTGAAGATAAAAATCCAAGTGTACCCATTGAGGAAGTTTTAAAAATGAGTTAAAATTCAAAAGATGTGTATTTTTTAACACTAAGTAAAATCGATTTGTTGAACTATAAATCAGAATCCATAAAAATAGGCTTATGAATAGAAAGTTTTCAAGTTCATAGAAAAGGTTTTTATTTTTTGTTGCTGTTGTTGTTCTTAATTAAAAATGACCGTAGAGTGTATTTTGACATATTATACATACCTGGAGTATAACTTTCCATTCTTGTGGTTGCACATGATGTGGAGTTACACTGGGGTCTTCATTCTTTACAAAAAATAGATCTAATTCTCTAGTTGGTTGCCCTTCACCTCTAACATTTATGTCATAGCCTGATTGCTTACAAAATAAATACTTTTCAGCAGTAATTGCCATTTTATCTTAATAATTAGTAACTTATAGCTACTATTAAAACTGCAAACGTTGGAGCTGGAGTTGTGGCTCAGAGGTAGAGTACTCGCCTGGCATGCATGAAGCTCTGAGTTTGATCCTCAGCACCACATGAAAAATAAAAAAAATAAAGATATTGTGTTCACCTATAAGTAAAACTGCAAAAGTTGACACATTCGTGAACAGCAGTTTTGCAATTAAATTCAGTAGATATACTACTAGTTTGCTTAGCACTTTCCTATTTGTATCTGGCAAAAATGTTACCTGGTACATATTTAAGACTGTAAGTAGGTATATTCGTTACATGCATTAGTAGACTTGTTCTTATAAATACTTTTTTAGTTGTTGATGGACCTTTATTTTATTTATTTATATGTGATGCTGAGAATCAAACCCAGTGCTTTACACATGCTAAGCAAGCACTCTACCACTGAGTTACAACCCCAGCTCAGTAGACTTGTTCTTGAGCTGTTACTAAAATAATAACAGTTCCTTTCTTTTGTTAACTTTAAGTGACATTGGTAACACTGATCTTTATTTCAGTATTTATTGTATCTTAAACATTAATTTTTGGATGTTTATTCCAGGACTTCTGATGATCTTAGTCTTCAGAATAATTAGTTGTTACTCTTTAAGTTATCTATTTACTTTATTCTTTTAGTCTTATGTTTATATTTATTTCTTTTCAGATTCGGAGGAACAATACATAATTTTAATTTTTCAAAATGGCCTTGATCCTCAGGCAAATATGGTATTTGAAAGCATCATTACTGACATTGGTATAAAAAATAATGTTCCCAATTTTTTTGCAAAAATTCCCTTCGACGAAGCCAATAGCAGACTTGTTGCCTGCACCCGAAGCTATGAAGAGAGCATCAAAGGAAGTTGTGTGCAAAAAGAAAATAAAGTTAAAACTGTAATTATGTTAAATTTATTTTGAGTAATGAGTAATTTTAAGGGGACGTGTTTTATAATAATGACTTTCATATAAATTCCATTTTAGAATTAATTCCTTTTTATATGTGATGTGTGAACTATCTTGTAGCATCTAATTTAGGAACAAGATTCCCAATGTACACATACACACACTGCTTCATTCAAATCAATTATTTACCCTGAGTCTTAGGTTTGGAGGAATTTTGCTCCTTTGTGTGTGGTTTTATGCTTTATATTTAATATATGCATACATGATTGAAAACTTGGGAAGGGAGGAATACATATTGTTTGACCTTGATTGTCTGTGTATATATCCAGTTATAGGAACTACTCATATAGTTAGGTAACTCTGAAGCCACATGAACCAAATGCCCTAGTATTATTATAACACTACCACAGCAACTAAATTTTGCTGACTTAATTTATTGGGGCCAAATCTCTCAGCCTTGGTATATACACAGAAATTGACTGTCCAAACACTATCTTAGTGATAGTTGAGCAAGGTCTCACACAGTGGATTGGGATAAAAAGCAGGAGGAAGGGGAATCATGCTCCTCATTTTGCAGGGTTGGCTACAGGAGATAATGCTTTAGAGGAAGAAAAGAGTAGCAGAAGCCATAAGACAGCTGGAATGGACTTTATATTTCAATCCAAGGTTTCTCCCTCTAAGGAGCCTCTATTTCATTTAAATCTTGTAGAGGGTGAGAGCTTATTAAACTATGTTCCCTAAGCCTCTGCCCCACATATTATGGATTGCCAAGGCATTAGAAACATTGAACTTAGGTAGGCCTTCACTGCTAGAAGAAAACAAACCCACTTCTGTTTTTTTTTAAAAGGTTCTTTAAATCTTATACTACCATAATCTGATCTATTATGGATAGTAGAGATCTTATAGTAATAAGATGCTGGAAAGTCATTATTAACATATTAGTATACTGTCTCTGTCTAGAAGCTAAAGATAAAAGAAAGTGACCCCCTACTCTTTCCCCTTTTTTTTCCGTATTGAGAATTGAACCCTGGGCCTTTGCACATGTGAGGCAAATGCTTTAACACTGTGCTACATTCCAAGCCTTCTTTTTAAATTTTCTTGAGACGGTCTTACAGAGTTACTCAGGCTAGCTTTGAACTTGTGGTTCTTCTGCCTCAGCCTCTGTAGTAGGTGATAATACAGCGGTGTGCTACCACGCCCAACCTGTTTATTGTTTTTAATACAGATTCAAACATACTATTCTAGTTTCTTATTTTTAATCATTTTTAATTAAAAACTTTCTGTGCCTTGCACTTGCTCTTATAGAAGATTTTTCCATTTGACTTTGAATTGATAATTTAATTTCTTTTACCAGGTATCATTTGAATCCAAAATACAGCTTAGAAACAAACAGGAATTCCAGTTTTTTGATGATGATGAAGAAACCGCAGAGAGCCATACCATCTTCATTGGACCTGTAGAAAAGTGAGAAATTTCTTTTACATTTGTAATGCTGTGAATTTCTCTTTCTTTTCTATTATAATTCACTTATATACATTTGTAAAGCTTTGTTTATTTGCTTGTTTTTTTTTTTTTTTAATTGCAGATTGATCGTATATCCACCACCTCCAGCTAAGGGAGGCATCTCTGTTACTAATGAGGACCTGCACTGTCTAAGTGAAGGAGAATTTTTAAATGATGTTATTATAGACTTTTATTTGAAGTAAGTTAATTTTCTACTAACCTTTTAGCAAATTTTTAATAATATTTTGTATTGTGTATTTTTATTTTCTAAAGTCAGAGATTATTTTGGTTTTAAATTTTACTTTTTGAGTAACATTTGGAAAGTTTTTGATCTGATTTTACCTGTGTTTTCACATTTTAAAAGTGAGAATGGTGTCTAAAAGGATTGTGAAAATTTGATGAAGTAATACATGTCAAGTAATAGAAAAAATGCAAATTCCCTTCAAAGATTGGTTGGAAAGGAAAAGAATGGAACAAGATTGACTCTGCAAATATTAACTTTGAACAAAGGAGACAGGAGTATCATTAAAGAAATGATGAGCAAAGAAAATTATCAGAGACATTATATGATGATAAAGGAGTGAGCCACCAGGAAAACATAGCAACCTTAAATGATATGTTCCATACAGTAGAGTTATACATGACATGAAGCAAAATTGACAGATCTGTGAGGAGGGAACAGATGAATTATGTTCTCTGAAAGGAAAAACTGCATTAGGTTTTAAATGCCTAACCTTGTAAGACCCCCTGAAACCTAACATATATTTAAGGACAGATTTAAAGAAAGTTCTTTGTTGCTAAATCAAAAGATGATATATCAGGCTGGGTTTGTAGTTCAGTGTTAGAGCACTGAAAAAAAAGTGGGGGCGGGAGTGTTTCTTCATACAAATGGCAAACAAGGATTTGAAAAGATGCTCACTTAACTTAATCCTTAGAAAATACAAATGAAACCATAATGTGATATCACTGCAAACCCACTGGGTTGGCTACCATCCAAAAACAGCAAAAAGAAAATAACAATGGTTGGTGAGAATATGAAGAAATTGGAACTGTTTTTCCCTCTTGGTAGTATTATAAAATGGTATAGCCACTACGTAATGGAAGACAACGTGGAAATTCTTCAGAAATTTAAAAATAAAATTGCCACATGATCTTACAACCTGAATCCTGTATAAAAATCCAAGAGAAGTGAAAGCATGGTCTTGAAAAGATATTTGTACACTCCTGTTCACAATAGCTAAGAGGTGGAAATCATTTAATGGTCCATAGATGGATAAATGGATAAGTAAACTATGACATTATACATATAATGGAATATTATTCTCAAAAAGAAGGAAATTGTAACTACAGTCTCATGGATCGAATTTTGGGGCATTATGTGAAAAATAAGTCACAGAAAGACAAATGCTGTATGATCACACTTATGAGATACCCAAAGTAATCAAATTCATAGAAACAGACAGTATAATTGATAGTTACCAGGTACTGGAGGAGGGAGAAAAAGAAATTGTTTATTGGATGTAGAGTTTCATTTTTGCCAAAATGGAATAATGCATACTTTAATTTGTAACCGAACTTAAATATACTGTACACTACTGAACTACTTAGTTAAAATAGTTAAGATAGTAAATTTTGTTTTTACTACAATTTAAGAAAATGTTATCTCAGTCCTGATTTATACTCTACTACTTGAACAAGTCAAGCTACTAAGAATAAGAAGCATGAAGTGAATGTATAGAACAACATTGCTATTGTTAAATGGAGTGTTCATTATTGTTATTAGGTCAATTTGGTTGATAGGGCTATTAAGGTCATTTATCCCTACAGATTTTGTGCCTGGTTGTTCTGTCGTTTATGGAGAAGGGTTATTGAAATATCCCACGTTAATTATGCATTTGTCTTTCTCCTTTGAAATCTTCTATATCTGTTCTTGAAGCCACATGTATTTTGAAGGTCTGTTGTTAGGTACATATACAGTTATTTATATCTTGTAGAGTTTACACCTTTATCATTACAAAGTATCCCTCTTTCTCCCTGATAATCTTCCTTGTTTTTAAGAGCTTTGTTCAAAATGAATATAGCTCTTCCAGGTTCTTTTAATTTGCATTTGCATGGTGTACACATCTTCATCCCTTTACTTTTAATCTGGGTCTTTATATTTGTTTGTTTTTTAAAACATATAGTGGAATTTTAAAAATAGTTGAACTCCTGTATTTTGTTTATGTTCTGTTTTGTCTATTTCATACAGAAATAATTACACTTTTTAAGATATAATCATTACTATATTTCAGGAGTCTCCTCATATTTTAGTTAGGCTTTAAGACAGATTTCATATAGTTAAACTTAGTCTGCCTTCTCTGATACAAGCATAGTACTAATAAAGATTAAAATTAAAAATAATTATTTTTAAATAACCTATTGATATTTCTCTCATGACATTCTTAGAAGTGAAATTAAAAGGAAGCTTTACTATTAAAATGAATAAGTCTTCCTGATGTCAGAGCTGTTCATTCTTCTCTATTTCTAGCTCTACAAATTAGAAACAAACTTTTAAACAAAGTTTGCCAACTTTTCAAGAAGCAGGAAAACATGGCATCTGGGAAATGTTAATACGATGCAGAGAAAAAGGATTATTTTAATAAAAATACTTAGAAAATTACTTTCGTGTAGTTGTAGATTAACCTTAAAAACATTTTCAAATGTTAAAATTAAATGTTATCTTGTTATTATAGATTTTATACTTTTTGAGATAGCGTGAACTATTTGACCACAACAGTCAATATTAAAATGGCTTATGCACTGATGTGCATTAATGTACCCAAATGGAAGAAAAGGCCAAGAGTTTTTTTTTCCAGTAAACTTGGATTTTGTCTTTAATTATAAACTGAAACATAACTTCTTATTAAAATCAATAATTATAATACATGTATATTTAAAACAACCAGAACTGTATTCACACAATTATTTATGGATAGTTCAGAGTTAAAACTGAGACAAAACTAGTTTCTTTAAAAGACAACAATTTGTTTATATATGAAGTAGTTAGTTTTCTTTTAATCACAAATAACTTTACATTTTTTTTTTAAGAGAGAGAATTTTTTAATATTTATTTTTCAGTTTTCGGCAGACACAACATCTTTATTTGTACATGGTGCTGAGGATTGAACCCAGCGCCGCATGCGTGCCAGGCGAGCGCACTACCGCTTGAGCCACATCCCCAGCCCAACTTTACATTTTAAGTTGAATTATCTCTTTGTTTATTCAGTTCAGTTTTATAAAGTAATCATTGTAATTTGGGCCCGCAAAAGTAAAATAGTTCCCCCTCTACGGTTTAGCTCCTGAACTTAGAGCTAAGTTAGTACACATTGCTTTCTGAGTATATTATTACAGAAATAATAATCAGTTTACTTTGTGTCATGAACTTATTGTTTTGTAGGGGCACACTGAGTTGCTTGAATGTAAGAAATATTTTATGTTATTTCCTTTTCATTAGAACTTGAGCTTTGGAATTATAAAAGTAAAAGGTTTCAAAACTGTGCCTGCCCTCTGAGAGAACACACCTCTTAAGCATTTGGTGTTTCTGTGTAAGACTTCACAAGGCAATTAGACTATCTTCACTTGAGTAAAATGAATGTGGCCATAGCTTGATTGCATAGCTCCTATGAGAAAGTTTGAAACAAATAAATTTATTATAACAATTTCCCTTTGCAACATAAAGGAGCATTTCAATTTGTTTTCATATAAATTTACAGAAAACTAAAGTAAGGAAAAATTAGAACCAGTATAAGGTCACTTTAAAGAGACATTGTCGATAACCTCACCACTGCCAGGATTCTTTGTGTCTTTTATTTTCATAAAAAGTAGTATATAGTTGAGTCTTTAAGATTGATTAACTAAACTGTTTAAAATGAAATGAATAGTATTAAAATAATCATTGAAGTACAGTCCACATACCCTGCAAATCACCCTTCTAAAGTCTATAGTTCAGTTTTTTTTATTATATTTGAAAATTATAAAACTCACCACAGTCAACATCTGAACATTCTCATTATCCAAAAGAGAAACCCCAGTACCTGTTAGTAGTTACTGCCTGTTTTTTTTTTTTCAACCTACCAAAGGCCTAAGGTAACCACCAGTCTTCTCTCTGTTAATGGATTTGCAATTCTGGAATTTTTATGTAAATGGGAGCATATAATATGTGGTTCTTCACAAGTAGTTTCTTTTACTTAGCATGCTTTTAAGGTTATTCTCTGTTGTCATGTGTATCACCATTTTGTTTCGTTTTATTGTTGAATATTATTCCATGTACATTTTATTTTTCCATTCATTATTTGATATGCAATTCTGTCATTTACTTTTTTTTTTTTTTTTTGTACCAGGGATTGAATTCAGGGGCACGTAACCACTGAGCCACATTCCCCAGCCCTATTTTTTATTGTATTTAGAGACAGGGTCTCACTGAGTTGCTTAGCACCTCGCTTTTGCTGAGGCTGGCGGTGAACTTATGATCCTCCTATCTCAGCCTCCTGAGCTGCTGGGATTACAGGCGTGTGCTACCGTGTCCGGTATCATTTACATTTTTTGACAATTTTTGAACAGTGCTGCTGCTAATGTTCATGTATAAATTTTGCGTGGACATATGCTTTCTTTACTTTTTGATTTAAAGTGTATCCTTAATTTTAAATTATTATATCTTTCAAGTCATAATATTACTCTAAAATACTATTTTTCATTATCCAAACATAATCTGGTCATTATCATTGTCCAAAAGTTTGCCAATAAGTTCGTTCATTTCTAAGGAATAGAGTTTAATGGTAGCTAAAAAAATATTTTATTACTGCATGACTGGTTAATTTTAATATGAATTAAATTATTACATTGAAATTATTTTTGCTTAAAATAGATATTTGGTGCTTGAAAAACTGAAAAAAGAAGAAGCTGACCGAATTCATATATTCAGTTCTTTTTTCTATAAACGCCTTAATCAGAGAGAGAGGAGAAATCATGAAACAACCAATCTGTCGTAAGTCAGACTGAAAATATTTTAACAGATGTAATAAGATTCAATTTTAATTTTGTAAAAAAATCATTTAACAGTTATCAATCAATATCCATGGGAGTTTGATTTCAGATTTCCCCTACCCCACATGCAGATACCCAAATCTGGAGATGGTCAAGTATGTAAAATTGTGCAGTATTTTCATATAACCTATGGCACATCTTCTGTATACTTTAAATCATCTCTAATGATAATGTAATATGCTATTTATGGTCATTATATTCTTCAGGGGATGATGTCAAGGAAAAAAATATATATACATGTTCAGTACAGATGCAGTTTTTTTCCCCAGAATATTTTCTGTCCTTGGTTGAATTCATGAATGTGGAATGGAGTGCCATTAGTATTTAAAAGAAAATAGAAATCTCTGCAATTTACTTGCTTATTTTCTAAATTGTACAGCCAGGAGAGGCATCAAATAGGTTTATTTTCATTCTTTACAGATTTGTGTTTAACTGCCTTACAATAATCCTGCACTAATTCTAGGGTATAATTTTTCTTAAATTTCTTACTGAATCCACATCACTTATTACTATTACTAGTTTATAAGATTAATGTAATCAATAATATTCTAATATCCCCAGAATACCTAGAATTTATAAATATTATGGGTGTAATATCAAGAATAGTGCTTTCTAAATATGACTGAATTTTAAAAATTGCTTAGATGCAGATTGCTCTGTTTTACTCTAGCTCTTCCATCTATAATATCTAAGAGAAACCTGTGAATCTGTACTTTAAATAAGTTATTTGGATGGTTCTTCATAGACAAGTTAACATCTGAGTTATTTTATTTATAATTCCTCTCCTTATAGTGATGGCATCCAGCTCTAATTCTTGACTGGTAATAGGTCAAATAGGTAGACACAGGAGTTGTACATACTCACTTAACTGTTTAATGTCTTGAATTGATTGCTACTGTGTATAATACAAATATTTTCTATTTTAACAATTCCTAATTTGCATTTTAGAGTTGTTGATAGTCATTGATTTTGACCTGTGCTCATAATCTATCCTGCTTCATCTAATGTCAGTTGATGCTGCTTTTCCTGCTTTCTTCTCCTTAGTTACCATAAATCATGCTCTTATGCCTGCCCCTCACTGTATAGCTGCTAGTACCAGTTTGCATAATAAAAAAAGTAGAGACAGAAGTCCAGGCAAGAGAATTATTGGAGCCCCTAGGCTATGCCAATAGAATTAAATATCTCTTTCCTCCATATTCAATGATGGGCAGTTTCATGCCTTCATCATTTTATCTAAGATGTTCTATTTTCTTTTCCCAGCTTCTTAAACTGTCTTATACAATTTTTGAAGCTGTTATATGTGAATCTACATAATTTGTAAATCACTGCATATAAGCTAAAACATTAGAGACAATTCAGAAGCTTATAGTTTATCTTTCTTACAGAATACAACAAAAACGGCATGGGAGAGTAAAAACATGGACCCGGCATGTAGATATTTTTGAGAAGGATTTTATTTTTGTACCCCTTAATGAAGCGTGAGTAAAAATTTTTTGTCAGTGTGATGGTACTTTTTAAATATGTGTTTAAAAGGTAAAGAATTCATCCATTTTAAAACCGCTTTTTGAAACTTGTCATAAGTATTGAATATGCCTGTTTTATAAAAATTAATGCAGTTTCCCAGGTACTGAATTTTGTTAAAAAAAAAGATAGATATCTTCCTAGTATTTTTTATGGATCAATGCAGAGTAAAGTCATTCAAACAAAAACAGTGATGCTTGTGGTAGAGAAAATGTTAACACCAAAGGATGTTTAGTTACATAGATGGGTTTGAATATTTTAAAACACACATTTGCTTTTAACCAAAGAGGAAGGTGGTTGGATTAATGGCATTTGATCAAATTGAAAATCATGCTATTTGAAACAGTTTTCTAAGTAAATGGAGAAGCATAAGTACTTTGTATTATCATCCCTGTATATCTCCCTTGACCATAGAGGCATTGATATGTAAAATAGAATTTTAATACAATTCAGACTTCCAAGGTGGTGGTGGTTTGGTGTGTGAATGAGTGAGTGAGAGTGTGTGTGTGTGTGTGTGTGTGTGTGTGTGTGTGTTTTACTGTGGGTTTAACCCAGAGTCTTACATACTATGTAAGTGCTCTGTCACTAAACTACATCCTCAGCCCTTTTTAAATTTTATTTTGAGATAGTCTCCCTAAGTTGCCCAGACTGGTCTTGAATATAATCCTCCTGTCTCAGATTGAGTTTTTTTGTATTTCTCTCTTGCTCTTGCTCTCGCTTTTGTTTTGTTTTGTTTTCCTATGCTTTTCAGCCAAAGACCACTGGAAATTTACCTGGAGTCAAATAACTTGGGAGAAATAAACCATCAGCAATTCTGTGGTCTCTCATTAAAAGAAAGTATAAGAGAATTTGGGCTTTGGTTGGGGGGAGAGTCTGAGGTAGTTTTCTTGGGTAATGAAGTAGCATTCACTTATTTAGTAAAAGAGGGAGATGTTTGCTATTTTGTGGATTGTACTGTAACCTAGCGTTCTCCCCTGCCTAGACAAATTATGGCCTTACTTTGTGTTATTTTTATCGTGGTTTGAGTAAACTTGACTGAGATTGTTTATGTTAATAAGCCTAGCTGTGCCAGTCTATCTTCTGAATACGCTTTGTTTTCCTTTTGTTTCTTTGAAAAACAGATTTAAAATCTGTTTTAGTGATATACACCTATATTCCCATCCTCTTAAGAGACTGAGGTAGAATGATCACAAGAGTTCAGGAATTTAAGGCCTGCTTGGGCAACAGTGTGAGATCATGTCTCCAAAACATGAATATATTAATTAACTAATTAAAATAAATTGTATTTTAGGGGCTTAAGGTATACCTTAATGGTAGAGCAGTTGACTAGCATTTAAAAGGTCCTGAGTTAGATCCCCTGTCACCCCCCAAAAAGAAAAATGTTTTAATTATGAGGCCTGTGTGCTGTACATCGTAGCCCAAGCAAAGACAGATAACCTAGGTCAGAACATATATATATATACATATATATGTGTGTGTGTGTGTGTGTGTGTGTGTATACACACACACACACATATATTTTAAGTTGTAATCTTATAACAAAATTTAAAACTAACTGAACATTAATTTCTTCATTCTCTCCAAGATAAATTTTCTTTAAATTTATTATGTAAGTAACACATGAGGTACTAGTAAGTAAGAAAGTTATTTGTGAGAAATGAATTATATATTTAAAATAGAAGTACAGTTTGAGTCACATATAATTTAGGGACAGAGGCATATCCCTTTTAGTCACTATATCTGTGTATGGAAACTACTGTCAGTGCTTCTAATCTTCCTGGTGAGAGAAGAATGAGTAAAGATGAAGTGCCACTAAAGGATTTCATAAGAGGAATATACCTTTTGTAGATGAAAAAAAAAAAGCCTATAAGTCACAAGGCCCTTGTTTTGTTTTTCAGAGAGTTAATGCCACAGATATTTACTAATTAATATTAGATTGGCTATCACATTTGTCAACTGTTTTATTTTTCTGATTATGCTTATTTTTTTAAGTTTATAAACTGTTAAAAACTGCTATAGTTATTGTCAAGGAATAAAGATTTGATATTTGGATATAGTTCAATTTAAGATAAGTGAAATTGCCTTGTTCAGCCTCTCTCCCATTGGTAATTTAAGGTTAATGTAGCTACTAATCCATTTGGCATTAAAATGGCTCATAAGCTGGGTGCAGTGGTATATGCCTGTCTATAATTCCAATGACTAGGGAAGCTGAGGCAAGAGGATCACAAGATCAAGGCCAAACTTAGCAACTTAGACCCTTTCTCAGAGTTTTGTAAAGGGGATGGTGGTGGCTGGGAATGTAGCTCGGGGGTATAAAATGCCCCTTGATTCAGTTACTAATAGACAAAAAGCAAAATTTTTTTAACTAAAAAATAAAATGGTTTATAAAAGCAACCTTGGTTCTTTGAGATTATAAGTGATGATCTGATTCAGCTTTCTCCTTTCAGCAAAAAAGGATTATTTTCCATAGTTTTTAGGAGAGGCAACAGAAATCAAAGCTTATCTACATTGACAAAGTTAAGAAATGTCTAAAAAAAATAACAGGCTAAGATTATAGCTGTAGGTTGAACACCATGTTACACCATATTCATCAATTTTTAAAACACATTTTTCAGCATATTAACATTCTAAAACTGAGATGTGCCCTATAGTCATCTGTGTCCTAGATTGAAATGAGAAAGTTGGTGTGTTCTTTCTACTGCCCTAGTGTTTATCTAAATCTATATTAAGAATTAATAATTAAGAACAGGAAAAAAACATCCATCTGGCATTTGATTTACTGATAATGAAGCAAGTCTTTATGACCTTTCTACTGGATCCTGTCAGGTGAAGACATAGTGCTGTTTCTTAGTACTAGCTTGGGATAATCTAGCATTTTGCAGGAATGAGAATGTGGAATAACTTTTTTCCATTCAAAGTACTTATTTTTTGATTCACCAAAATTTATCAAACACCCTATCAAATGAGAGATATTGTGCTTATCTATTAAGTTCTCTAATATCTATCTATATAGACTGTTCATTATATCCCAACACATATCCCTTTCCCTACTAAATAATGTTTTTCAAAACAATTTGTTAGTTTAATGAATATGAGCCAGGAAGGTACAGTTTCTTACTCAGGATCTGTACTCTATGGTTGGGAGCTGTGATACCAGAATTCAGCAACATGCCAGCATCTACTTGATGGCTGGAATTCTTTACTAATGCTTGAAATTTTGTAACAATGACTAGAGTAGATACATTTCAATATAGCATGAAACAAAGGATTATTCATATACATATTTTCCTTCCTACTTATTAATAATAAAAACAGACATGATAAAAAATTTTTAAATGGACACAATAATGTTTATTTTTTAATATTTTTATTTTTTAGTTGTAGTTGGACATAATACCTTTATTTATTTATTTATTTTTATGTGGTGCTGAGGATCGAATCCAGGGCCTCGCACATGCTAGGCAAGTGCTCTACCGCTGAGCCACAACCCCAGCCCCTTGTTTGTTTATTTTTATGTGGTACTAAGGATCGAACCCAATGCCTCACATATGAGAGGCAACCACTCTACCACTTGAGCCACAACCCCAGCCTGATGAAAGGTTTTTAAAAGGAATTTTTCATTTTAAAAACAAGAAGCAGATCAGAAGATTGTTTAAAAGTGAATTCAGGGGCTGGGGCTATAGCTCAGCATTACAGCGCGTGCCTTATATATGCGAGGCACTGGGTTCGATCCTCAGCACCGCATAAAAATAAATAAAAATATTTTGTCCATGTACAACTAAAAAACAAACAAAAAAAAGTGAATTCAGAGCCAGGCACAGTGATACATACCCGTAATCCCAGCAGCTCAGGAGGCTGAGATATAAGGATCGCAAGTTCAAAACCAGCCTCAGCAAATGCGAGGTGCTAAGGAACTCAGTGAGACCGTGTCTCTAAATAAAATACAAAATGGGGCTGGGCATGTGGCTCAGTGGTCAAGTGCCCCTGACTTCAATCCTTGTTATCCCCCTCAAAAAAAAAAAAAAAAAAAAAAAAAAAAAAATATATATATATATATATATATATATATATTAGGCTACATGGTTTTAATAAAAATTTGTGTTATTTTTGAATAGACATTGTATTGTTAACAGTGATCATACATACACATGAAAACAGGTATAAATGATTTGAGAATTGAAAAAAATTAGCATTGTTACATTTGTTCACAAAAGCTTTAGAAAAAAACATTTAATTGGTATTTACTACCGAATATAATAAACTTTTCTAATAACATATTTAGTAGTTTCATTTGTTTTTTACAGCGCACACTGGTTTTTGGCTGTTGTGTGTTTCCCTGGTTTGGAAAAACCAAAGTATGAACCTAATCCTCATTACCATGAAAATGCAGTCATACAAAAAAGTTCAACTATAGAAGATAGTTGTATTTCTTCTCCTTCTGCCAGTGAAATGGACAGTTGTTCACAAAACTCTTCTGCCAAGCCTGTAATTAAGAAGATGCTAAATAAAAAACATTGCCTAGCTGTAACTGATTCAAGTGCTGGACAGGAAGAAAGTGACCCTTGTTATCGGAGAAACATATGCAGTGTGAAATGTAGTGTGAAAAAAATAAATCATACTGCAAGTGAAAATGAAGAATCCAATAAAGGAGAATCTGCATGCCAGAAAGTAGTTGATAGGACTAAAAATGAGAATGGCCTACAGAATGAATGTTTGAGTTCTGTGCATCATCCAGGTATGTATTTCTGTGTTCTGAAAGAATGAAAGAATCCAGAATAGGATTAAACAATCAGATTTTTAAAAGTCCTGTTTATTGATATATATTACACTTAGAATAACATTCACTCATTGTATCAGTATAGCTTGAGCTGTGTGATTGTATACTGTCATATAATCACTACCACAACCAAAATTTAAAACCTTTTCATCACTCCAGAAAATCTCCTTGTGCTTCTTTAATAGTCATTCTCCTCCCTTTTCCTCTACAAGTGCAGTTTTGAAATTGTAGAATAGGTTATGTATCCCTAGTCTGAAATCTTAAGTGCTTCAAAATCTGAAACATTATACAACAAATGGAAAATTTCTATACCTGACCTTGTGATGGTTCCAGTTAAAATGCAGATATATTAAATGTTGTATAAAATTACCTTCAGGCTGTGTGTAATTCTGGTTCCAAACATTTCAGATAAGGGTTACTCAACCTGTTCAAGGTTTTTATTTTTCCACTTATGAAATTTCATAGGAGATTTACTGTATTCAAAATAAACAGTAGTTGTATAGTCCTAGATCTATAAAGCTAATAAATTCATTATTCTCAATTTACAGACTGGTGAATTGAGTACAAGTGGCCAGAAGCAAAAATTAAAGCTTTAGCTGGGTGCATGCCTATGATCCCAGCAGCTCGGGAAGTTGTAGCAGGAGGATCATGAGTTCAAAGCCAGCCTCAGCAACTTACAGGGGCTTAATGACTCAGTGAGACCCTGTCTAATAAAATATTTAAAAAGGGTTGGGATGTAGCTCAGGGATTAAGCACCCCTGGATTCAATCCCCAGTACCAAAAAGAAAGAAAGAAGATTAAAGTTTTTCTCCTGTAAGCTATTGAAGCTTCATTCTTCATTCTTTACTATTTTAAATAGGAAGAGGGGCACCACTCCAACTTCTGCTTTTGTTTGTTTGTTAAAGTGCTAGGGATTAAACCTGGAAAGTTTGATCAAACATGCTAGGCAAGTGCTCTGCCACTGAGCTATACCCCCAACCCCAACTTCTACCTTTTTATTTCTCATCATCTCTAATAAATTGATTTTCTTCTCCTTGAGTTAGTTGCATATTTCTAGCTTCTCTCATAAGAATCTAAAAATTCTCTTTAAATTCTTATATTTTGTATTAAGTCAGTTATATAATTTTCTTTCCAATGCACAAGAGTCCATTCTATATCTTAATTTAAACACTACAAAAAGTATACCTCTATCAACATATCACATGTTATCCTATAAATATATACAAATCTTTTTTTAGTCCTGGTGAACAAACTCAAGGCCTTATGCATGTGAGGAAAATGCTTTACTTTACCATTGAGCTACAAAAATGTGTAGAATCCTAAGAATATGTACAAGTGCTATGTGTCAATTTAAAAAAGATTTGTAAGTCTGTTCCATAAAACCCATAATATGATATAGTGTGTGCCTTGCAGATTTATTAAAATGAAAATAGATTTAATATATTTTGTTTGGATGGGAAAAAATATGTGGAATAGGCCATAGAAGAAATTATGTGGATTCAGAAAGAACATGTTGAAAATTATGAGTGCTGAACATACTGTATCTTGGTACTTCTACCAGCTTGTATTATTTTGTGAGTCAGAAACTTTTGTTGAGCTCTTGTAAGAATATTTTGATTTGTTGGGCCTACTAAGCTGCATAAAGTTGATTTCAACTCTGGAGTAGTTTACCTTTGAGAGAGAAGAAGCAGAAAAGGAAAACATGCAGGAAACTTCAACAGAGGCCAAGCAGATAAATACTTTTCTAGCTCATTTTCCAGTCTTATTTCATTAGTCAGGAAATAGAATAAAAGTAGGCAAAATGCTTGCCTATTATTTTTCAATTTCAGTGGTTTAATACTTGAGGATAAAACTACTCATTTATTTGAAATCTCCAGAACAGGAAAATCTGTAGCATAGACATTGACTGCTTAGGACTTTTTTTTTTTTTTTTTTTTGGTAGTAGTCAAGGACAGGAATGTGGCAATGGTAAAGGAAAGCTATTGAGTACTGGGTTTTTTTCTTTTTGAGGTTTTAAACTTGATTGTAGGGATTGGACATGTAACTCAGGGGTAGAGTGCCTGCCTTGCATGCCTGAGGCCCTGGATTTATTCTGTAGCGATGCAGGGGTAGGGTTGGCAGCATTGATTGCAATGATACTTGTACAAATGTATGAATATATAGTTATCCTCTGGTATCCATGGAGAATTGGTTACCGATCTTCTTGCTTTCCCCCAAGTACACCCAAATCTATGGAATCTCAAGTCCTTTAAATGAAGTGGCATATTTGCATACAAGTTGTGCACTTACTCCCATATACTTTAGAGCATCTCTTAAAGTATACTTTACTACAGTAAGTATGTTGAATTACATTATGTAATACAATATAAATGTTGTGTACATAGTTGTTATACTGTATTTAGAGAATAATGACAAGGAAAAAAATCCATACATGTACAGTAAAAATATTTTTAAATATTTTTGATCTATAATTAGTTGAATCAACAGAGAACCCGTGGATACAGAGGGCTAACTATGAAAAACACTGGATTATATGCATTAAGTGATTGAAAGTTATATGAATTTTATTTCAGCACTATTAAAAAGAGAAGCCAGGGGAAATATTTTAGTGGTTAAGTACAAACCCATGGGCTTGATCCTCAGCAAGGATCCTCTTAAGAAAGGAACACAAGAGAAGGTATTCCTTTGATGAGTTAACCAAAAATACTTTAATGTGAAATGAATTAAAGAGCAATGTAAATAAAGCTTAGGGCTTTTTAATACACAAACTCCACAGATTCCTAGTGCCCTCTCCTACAAATTAAAGTTCTGCTCAAGTTGAATAGCCAGTTAAAATTTGAGTGAATAGCATAAAAAATTCTAATGAGGACCAAAATTAAAGTATGTGTCATGTATTAATATCTGTTTATCCCATTCAATTTTTAATTATAGTTAATGCATTTGTTTTGTTTTCAGTATATGTGCACTGACACCAATTATATCTTCATGGGAGGGAGGCGGGAATGTGGGGAGAGGCAAATGATAGCTGAAGGGTAGAGAGTTTCGTCTTTTTTGTTTTTTCACTCTTGTGGTGTAGGGGATTGAATCCAAGGCCTCACATATGCTAGGTGAGTGTTCTTCCACTGAGTTATATCCCCAATCAAAGGCTTATGAAACAAGTGTTTCACAGAATATTGATTTTTCATTTTTGTATTTGTGATAACACCTGTACTATTTTCTTAGTGCTTGCTTTAGTCCAGGATTGATAGTGTCCCACAGTTTGAAATAGTGCTCTAAAGTGGGTCTCTGCACACTTGGGTAATGAGGTTCTATAGTTTTAATCAGATGTTTCCAATGCATCATTACCCAAAAGTACATCAAATAAGAGTTCTCTTTAGATGTGCCTTTGCCAACCACCTCAGAAAGGATGCTTAAGGAGTCTGTCCTATATACAATGATAGCATATTAATCAGGATTTAAATTGTGTATTTTAGACCGTTTTAACATAATTTTAGCTATCAAAGACATAGTTACCAGTATTGACTACTAATGTTAGACAAAGTGCAGTTGTATGTAAATGGAATTATATCTAATCCCAGATATTAGGATTTTTAAGTCAGTGTGTGAAAAGCACTTGCTATTTTTTCAGTTGGGCACCATATGAAATAGTTAACTTGCTAGGGTACATGAAATGTGTTTAAACTTGAGACTCAAAATCATCTTCAGATGGTCTCACTATGAGAAACTCTCAGGAACTTACATTTATTGATAGAAAGATTGATTGAGCCCAGCATGGTGGCACATGCCTGTAATCCCAGGAGCTAGGGAGGCTCAGGCAGATTTCTGAGTTCAAATTCAGCCTCAGCAACTCAGTGAGATCCTGAACAACTTGGCAAGACCCTGTCAAAAAGTAAAAAATATGGGAACAAAAATGGGTTGGGGATGTGTCTCAATGGTTAAGTGCTGCTGGGTTCAATCCCTGGTACCAAAAAAAGAAAAACTGATTGAATTGCTACCATTTATTTATTCCAGGTCATTTGTTTATTGACAGTAATAAAGGAGGGAATTAAATGAATTATTTAATTTATTTTGTTTTTGAAATGCACATACAATTTAATTGATGTAAGGTAAATATTCATATGACCACAGTTTCTGTAGATAAGAATGACTTGCTGCTAATAACCTGATTAATAATACTAACCTGATTGTGATTTACTGATTCTTAATTGCCAGAGGGTTTGGGCAAATTTTGGGCAAATGTTATTCAAATAAAGGTGTTTTAACTTTAAACAAACATAAAAATGCAGTTTTGAAAAAGATAAGATGAGGAGATTATGGTTTGTATAACAAAATGGTTTACCATTATGTTTGAATAGTTATTTTAATAATAACTGATCATAATATTTTAGGTATGTGTATATTTAATAATATTTAGACTTTTGTGTCTTTTCAGGAGTACATTTCATTTTGCTTCCTTCCCAACATTTTTATATTAATATTTTGACCCCTTATATGAAAACTAAACTTATACTAAAATAAACTTTATCTAAAATAACCTAGAAGTCATGCTTTCTAAATTTTGTAAATGCTGTGCTCTGAATTAAACAATATTGATATATTTGGTATTAAAATCCCTGACTTGGGCTTAATTGCTTTCATCTACATCTTATATTTCTTTGAAATGTTTTATGTAAATAATTTTTTTTTCAGTCAGCAAAAGAGTTGATTTAATGATTTAGTTTCTTGGAACAAAAGCACCCATTAAAGTAGTCATTGTAGCTTTTCTCTATGAATAACTACTTTTTTTGTGGTGCTTTATTTTAATCAATTTTTTTACATTTATTGTATAATTTATATTTTCACAGTTTTAATTTTAAAATTATACATTATTTTGTGTTCTAAAGTTTGCTGGTTTTGTTATTTAGCATTTATATTATTTTCAGATTGTTGTAACTTCTATTATGAGTTTAAAATATCTGGACTACCTAATACAACAATGTTTATCTACATATATTCATTCATTATGTATTTTAAGTATGTGTACGTTTAATCATAACTGATACCTAGTTTTTAAATTTTAATGAGTTTCAGGGTCTAAGTAGTAGAAACAATTTGGTAATTGATATGTCAATTAAAATAACTTGCTTTTTTTGTGAGATTACATGATAAAATAGATTTTATATCCTTAACTATTATATCATTGAACTACTATATCATTGATTAACTATGAGCATTAATTTTAGCATTATATTTTATTAATTATAGGCATGATGATCTTTTTTAATATATGTTTCTTGTTGATACAGATGGCTTAAGCAAAATCAGACTAAGCTATGGTGATGAATCAGCTGAAGGTAGTAAAATGCTTGAAGATGAACTAATTGACTTCTCAGAAGATCAAGATAATCAGGTAAAACTGAAAGCCTGGAAAAATATTCTGTTTTATCTAAAATTTTTCTTTAGGATCATGTAAGCAGGTCCTTCAACCAGTAAAATCTCATCATGGCTTCTGAAATTTGGGTCATAGCTCCAAACACAAATTTAGGTTTCAAGTCAAAGGTTCCCAGGATAAATGTATTAGTACTGCTGTTGTCTTGCCACTCTGATCTGGGCTGACCCTAACATGACCTCTGAAAGTTTTAATATAAAATTAATTCTCACCTGGGCATGGTGGCATACACCAGTAATCCCAGCAACTCTGGGGGACAAGGCGGGAGGATCACAGCTGAAAACCAGCCTTAGTAACTTAATGAGACCTTGTCTCTATATAAATTAATATAGAGAGTAATAAGTTGGGGATATGGTTCAGTGGTAGAGTGCCATTGGATTTAAGCAATCCCCAGTGCCACCAAAAAAATGTTTTATTTCTCTTACCAAAACCCAGCTAACACCTTCTACCCTACTTCCTCTTTCAAAGAATTTTTGGGTCTTACTTTGTAGAAACTTGACATTCAACAGGAAAATGTTTAAATTTTCAATTATGTAGTATGTGAGCATAGAAATATTATCTCTCTGAAGTGTCTCCAGTGATTTTTTTCTTTTAATTTAATGTATATGTATCTTGACAAGAGCAGAACATAAGTGAATTCTAATATCCATTATGAATATTAAGAAGTGTATGGTTTTATTTTATTTATTTATTTATTTTTGTTGTTGTTGTTTTGTTTTGTTTGTGGTGCTAGGGATTGAACCCAGGGCTTTGTGCATGTGAGGCAAGCAGTCTACCAACTGAGCTATATACCCAGCCCCAAGAAGTGTGTTTTTGAAACTATTTTATAGTTTCAATTAAATAGAACCTTATATTAAAAAATCATAAGCACCCTACAGCCAATTATTATTTATTTTTTTGACCTTTCTCTAGTTGTTAGGACAAACTTTGTTTACATAAAAGTAAAGATTGCTTCATACTGTACTATTTTTTTCTTTTTGCTTAATCTACTAGCAAACCAAGAAAGCACTTTTTTTGCATTTTTTAAAATTATTTTTTTAACTTATTTGTTCTAATCAGTTATACATGACAGCAGATTGCTCTTTGATTCATTGTACACAAATGGAGCACAATTTTTGACTTCTCTGATTGTACCAAAAGTAGGGTCACATCATTCATGCAGTTATACGTGTACCTAGGGTAATGATGTCCACCTCATTCCACCATCTTTCCTACTCCCATGCCCCTCCTGCTCTCACCTTTGCCCCATCCAAAATTCTTCCACTCATCCCATGCTTGCTCTCCGACCCCCATTATGGATTAACATCTCCTTAACAGAAAAAACAGTTGGCCTTTGGTTTTTGGGGATTGGCTTACTTCACTTAGCATGATGTTCTCCAGCTCCATTCATTTACCTGCAAATGCCATAATTTTATATTCTCTTTTATTGCTGAGTAATATTCCATTATGTATAAATACCATAGTTGCTTTATTCATTCATCTATGGAAGGGCATCTAGGTTGGTTCCCCAATTTAGCTATTGTGAATTGTGCTGCTATGAACATTGATGTAGCTATGTCACTGTAGTATGCTGTTTTTAAGTCCTTTGGGTATAGAGCAAGGGGTGGGATAGCTGGGTCAAATGGTGATTCCATTCCAAGTTTTCTAAGGAATCTCCATACTGCTTTCCTAGCTGCACCAGTTTGCAGTCCCACCAGCAATATATGAGTGTGCCTTTCCCCCCACATCCTCACCAACACTTATTGTTGTTTTTATTCTTGATAATTGCCATTCTGACCGGAGTGAGATGAAATCTTAGAGTACTCCTAAAGTGCAAGAAATGAAATCATAAATCAATAAATGGGATGGATTCAAACTAAAAAAGTTCCTTCTCAACAAAAGAAACTATCAGTGAGGTGAATTGAGAGCCTACATTTTGGGATCAAATTTTTGTTACATGCACATCAGATAGAGCACTAATTTCCAGAATATATAAAGGAACTCAAAAAACTTAATACCAAAAAATCAAACAACCCAATCAATAAATGGGCTAAGGAGCTGAACATACATGTCTCAGAAGAAGATATACAGTCAACAAATATATGAAAAAATGTTCAACATCTCTAGTAATTAGAGAAATACGAATCAAGAAAACACTTTTTTTTTTTTTTTTTTGTGATGTCCCTTGGTTAACAACGAATGACTGTAGATGTTTTTTTTCCCAATATATACAGGTTGAGCATCCCTAATTTGAAATCCATATTTTAAGTACTAATAGTATGCTGTCTCTTATAGGATGATAGCAGTGATGATGGATTCCTTGCTGATGACAATTGCAATTCAGAAATAGGACAGTGGCATTTAAAGCCTACTATCTGTAAACAGTAAGCAATAACTATGTCTTGTAAACTATATGATGTTATTTAAATAGTTTTTGCTTAAACAAATATTTAAGTATAATTCACAAATGCTGTCAGGATCATTGAGGAAAAGTGGGGTGTGCCACCAGGGATAAAGGAAGGGAGAATGAGTAATTATTTCAGTCCCCCATTTGCCCATTTTTCTAAACTCTTCATCTATGGATATACATATATGTCTCAATAGTTAACCATTATTCTTTTTAGTATACTGTGTTTTGGAGCAGAAAACACATGTCAAAACAGTTAACACAGGTTTGGAGTTTACACTGGTTCCGTAACTCCTACATCGGGGCCGTGGAGTGAGTCACATCAGCACTAAGGGATACATTTCATATAGGAACCCCAAATGAGAGTAAATCACTTTTAGTTTTCAGAAGTACATGTGTGTTTTGAAGTCTCTCCAGAGATCCCAAATTTAATTATTTCTAGACTTTATCTCCTTTGACTTTGTTTATAGGAGACTTTGAAAAGCAAACTTAATTTACAAAAGTAAACACAGATAGATACCTCTGGTAGTCCCCTCAGGACAAGGGGATGTAGCTCAGGAGTAGAGCATGTGGTTTAGTATGCTTGAGGCTGTGGGTTAAAAAAACCTTAGCACACACAGCAAGAAAGTCTACTCCAGATCCCCCCCAAAAAAATTTAGCTAAGATTGGTCTAGATCTTATTATTTCAGGACATTTGGCACTTCATGTACTTACTTGGGTTTACAACATAGCTGTATAGAATTGAAGTTCTTTGAAAATTGGATTTGAATTAAGTGTTCTATGGTAGAATCTTAAAACATACACACACACACACACACACACCCTAAACTGTTGCTTTTATGTGATAGTTAAATGTCTTAATATTTGTAATAGGCCTTATTTTTTTTTTAATGGGGTTATTTTCCTTCTACTTTCACATGGCCCCACTGGGTTTTTTTGTTTTTGTTTTTTTTAAGTGGAGTGAATGTTCAAATTTTCATACTTTTGTTTTTCTGCTAAATTTTTAAAGTATTATTAGGAATCAACTATGGAAATTTAGTGTAACATATTTATAACCAAGGGTTACATTAATATTTTACAACTCAATGTTTACTATAACCATCAATACCTAATTACTAGGCTGCTTGTATCTCTAAAGTTTATTTTTCTTCTGGTATTTACTGAGGTAAACAAGTAAATTCTGAAGTTTTTAAAATTTTATGTTAATATGCTATTAGTCTTTTTATGCTTTTGTAACATTGTGAAATATTCAATTTTTGGTCATTTGTACTCTGCAGACCTTGTATCCTACTTATGGATTCACTCAGAGGCCCTTCTCGGTCAAATGTTGTCAAAATTCTAAGAGAGTAAGTTCAAAATTGCACCTCACACTTTGTTTTGTATTCTGTTAGAGATGAGGCAGTTTGTATATTTATATGTGTATAATTTATTGCATATGCATTATTGCAGGTATTTAGAAGTGGAATGGGAAGTTAAAAAAGGAAGCAAAAGAAGTTTTTCTAAAGATGTTATGAAAGGCTCTAATCCAAAAGTACCACAGCAAAACAACTTTAGTGATTGTGGTGTATATGTATTACAGTATGTAGAGAGCTTTTTCGAGGTGAGTTTTAGTTTTTTGGATCTGACATAATTGATAATGAAATGTGTATTTGACTTTATTTTTTGTATAATGAACAACTATTTTGTATAGTGAGCAACTATTTTAGAGTTTGAAAACTGTGGTTTCAAAAATTATTCCAGGGAGGAAAAACTTAACAACTGGAGAACTTTTAAAAAAATTCTTTGCAATACAGGGAATCAAAGCTAGAGGCACTCTACCATTGAGCTACATCCCCAGCCCTATTTAAATTTTGAGACTGGCTCTCCTTCAGTGGCTCAGGCTGGCCTCAAACTTGGAATCCCCTTCCTTCTGTTGCTGGCATTTTAGGAATGTTCCACCATGCCCAGTACTAATTGGAACACTTTTAAAAGACATACAGGTCACCAAATCCAGTGCTGATCAACCTGTCCTGTCCACTGGTTCTTTCCACCTTAACTAATCTCTCCTGTAGTTCCTACTGTCTCATTTCTCCCCATCACAGATTTTTTTTTTTTTTTTTTTGTACCAGAGATTGAACCAACCACTGAGCCACATCCACAGCCCTTTTTATTTTTTATTTAGATACGTGGTCTCACTAACTTGCTAAAGCTGGCTTTGAACTTGCAATCCTCCTGTCTCAGCTTCCTAAGCTGATAGGATTACAGAAATGCACCACCACACCAGGACACAGATATATTTCTTGAAAAATAATTGTATTTACTGTCTCCATTTCATACTTGTTCCTCAGATCTCTGATATCTGGCATTATCCTTACCCTTATGTTAAAATTGTTCTTTACTTCCCATAACCATTTAACATTGTTGACCATTAATTTTTCACTCTCTTCCTTTAACTTCAGAGTAATAGTACCATACATTTCTCCCTTAGATATTCCTTAGTTATCTTGACTCCTTAGTTCTTCACCCACTGTCCAGTGGATGAGTCACAAAATACTGTCTCTTAGATATCAATGCATACATTACCTTGTCCCTGCTGTTTCTTTCCAAGTCCAGTGTGCTGGCACCACTCTTGAAGGCTTCTGTATTGATTCCCATTCTTCAGTTTCATATTCCCATTCTTTCTGCCTTCTCTTTTTCATAATTGTTTTCAAAAACCCAAATCTAATCATGTTACTTTTTTTAGTAGCCACCATGATGATTATATTGTTATTATTACTAATATCTTCCCTTCACTGCCTGTACTTCTATTTTATAATGACAAGTGCTCTAAATTCACTAGAAGGGTTCATACAACCATTGTGAAGCAGCCATTCTAAAGAGTTTTCTCCCTCAGGAACTATCATCTAGAGAGGGGTCACAGAAGCCTCCCAGCTTCCAGGGTCTACCACATCTGCAGGGTAGAGTGAATACCTGGTGTCCCCATACCCCTTCAGCATGATCCATTCTCTTATGCTTGAGAGGCATAAGTCAGTTATAAGATTCCCTCTAACCCTGAGACTCTGGCGTTGTTCGTTACAGCGGTTGCTTGACTCCTCTATACCTCTGAGATAGCACCAACTCAACCTTATCCAACCTCAGCTTTATTGCATTCAAGAGTGTGCCCTAAAATTACCATGAAAAAAAAAAAAGCCAGATACATGCTAGTGTTTCTTTATAAAAGCAAAAATGTTCACTGTTCATTCCAAGTAAATTGTTTCGTAATCCAATGGCTTCATCCAGGCTTCCAAAAAGAGCTGAAATGCTCAGGATACAGCTAAGCACAGCGCTCAGAGAAGATGCAGATTTGTAAGGTTGTTGGAGCTTCACTCAGCCTCCATGGTTCTTTCACAAATGAGTATTTTCCTTCTCTCCAGTCCTGCCTTAAATATTTCAGTGGCTTCTTCTTGCTTTTGAGTTAAAGACCAACAAGTTTCAAATGACCTGTATGATCTAGTATCTATCTAAGCTTTAGCCTCATTTTCTGAGCATTGTCATTCTAGCGTTCTATATATCAGCCAGCAGAAAGTTACTCAGTTTTTCATTTTGTGTCTTGTCCTTTCTTTTCTCTAAGCTGTAATACACATTTCTTACTGGAATACTCTTCACTATTGCTTCTGTCTTTTCTTGACTGGCTAATGTTTACTTGTTCTTCAGGTTTACTCTCCTAGAATAGTATTAGCCCTTAGATATTTATTCTCATAGTGTTCTATACTTATGTCGTAATATTTGTCGTATTCACCATTGAATTATCTTTCTGTCTGGCCTGGGGCTGACAAACCTTTTTATAAAGGACAAGAAAGTTAAGTATTTTTTTTTAGGCTATATAGCCATACGATCTCTGTTGCCACTCTGCTACTCTAAGTTCTACACCCATACACCATATATGAATGAGATTATGTGTTTGTATTCTAATAAAACATGGGCTAGGGATGTCACTCAATGGTAGAGCACTTGCCTGTCATGCATGAGGGGGAGGCCCTGTGTTTGGTATCCAGCATTGCCAAAAATAAAAGAAAAAAAAAAAAAAAACTTTACTAAAATAATGGATATGCAGAATTTGGCTTAGTGGTTGTAGTTTGCCAGCCTTTAATCAAGACTATAAGATCTGTATATACAGAAATTATCTTACATTTCTGGTACCCAGCATATTGCCTGGCATATGATAGGTAATGAATAAATATATATTGATACTTTCTTTTTTAAAAATCATTCCTTTTATTTGTACTAGATACAAATTTATGATGTACATAATTTCTTAATATATGTATATGAATCTGAATATGCCTATATTAAGAATGAATTCCTTTTTTTTTTTTAAGATCATTATGGTTGGTCATACATAGTAGTTGGGTCCATCTGGACAAACTTAGACATGCATGGAAATCAACTTCAATTGATATTTTCATTTTTAACTTTGGACTGTTTTTGTAATTGAAGCTAAAATGTTATTGATTATAATTTTCTAATAGACACTTAATCTTTGATTTTCAGAATCCCATACTAAATTTTGAGCTACCTATGAATTTATCAAACTGGTTTCCTCCCCCAAGAATGAGAACAAAAAGAGAAGAAATTCGAAATATAATTCTGAAGCTGCAAGAAGATCAGAGTAAAGAGAAGAAACAGCCTAAGGACAGTTCCTCAACAGAAGCATCTTTAGGTGAAAGAACAGAACAGTATGTCAACAGTGTCTCAGATTGACCAGAAGACAATTGTTGCTTGTGGCTTTCAGAAATAAAATGACTTTCAATTTTGGGGACAGACAGTAAAGAACTGAAGTACTCACTACTCAGAGTGATTTGGAGATGTTAATGCTTGTATAAATGTCATATAATTAATTTCCAAAGGAGTATGTATTAAGTAAAAGTCTGTAAATATGTTAATGAAGCCAATTTTTCCAGCATTTATAATTATTTTTTTCACTTGTTAGGAAGCTTTTGTTATGTATTTTCTGTTAATAGTACTTAAAACTGCAACTTCTAAACACAAAATAAATAAAAAAATATTTATAGGAGGAAATGATTAATCTGATACATTCTTTAGTGAACTTGTATAGTTCCTTCAGTGGGTTTGATTTATTTTATGGGAATAGTTAAGTATCTATGATAATCTTTTTACCTTTTATATTTGTTCTAAAATAACTCAAAATGTGAAAATAATATTAAATCTAAGGCACTTTCAATTAAGAAAACATCTTTATATACTTGTACAACAGGAAAAAAGTAACAGCTTTTCAATTCATACACTCTTATGTGTTATGAAAAACCAAAAGTGTAGTAAATATTTATATATAATTTTCACATACTTAGGAATAAACAGCATTGAGTAACTTAAAGAAAACTACCCTTGAATTATACTACCAAAAAATAACTAGCATACATTATTATCAAATGGATTTTTGAAGACATCAAAGACTCAGGTTGAAACTATTTGATAAGTGCAGCTTGAATTTCAAATATCTCATGTTACCTTTCTATATTATATCTTCAAATATGCTGCAATCTGTGTGATGTAGTTAATTGATAAACATTTTTAATCTGCATAAACAGGAATTTAAATAGGAATTGCTATTTTTTGTAACAACTTTTGCTATTTTTTATTGCTCATTTTGATCTTATTTTGATAAAGTATCAGACTTTTGCTTGAGTTTTTCAGTGCAAATTATTTTTACATGTAAAAGTACTGTCTTTAATCACATAATGCAGCAAAAATCTCCCTTTGAAATGCTAAAATATGGGTCTAGGAATATAGGTCAGTGGTAGAGTGCATACTTAGCTCATGTGAGGGCACTGAGTTGAATCCCCAGCACCAAAAAAATAAAAATACTAAAATGTGAAGATTCTGATGATACATTTGCAACTCATATAGAGCTTGCATATATTTGTAGAAACTTCATTATTTTTCAAATGAAATCATATACATTCTTTCCAGATGAGACTTGAAATATATATTTTAAGTCATTTTTTGTTAAATGAGGAATGAATTTTTAAATGCAAGTATAACAAAAATAATAATTTTTAAAAGGCCATTTCTATTGTCAGTAATTATTTTATTTTTAACTTGGCTGGCTCTGGTATGGTGATAAACAGTTTAGAGGGTTTTTAGTAATAACTTAGTTCTAATGGTTAGATAATTAATTCAGTTATGAAAAGCAAGAGTTGTACAGCAAAATGCTTTTGGATCTCTAGCGAAGCAAAGACAAAAAAGCGGAACATCTTTTTAAAAACTAATACCTAAGTTTTTTCAATGAACTGTATTTTGCTAGAATTTGATGGTACTGAAAAAAACTATCCCAGGGGCTGGATGTGGTGGCACATGCCTATAATTGCATCTGTTCTGAAGGCTAGAAATGAAGATCACTTGAGCCTGAGAGATCAAGATCAACCTGGGCAACATAGATTCTATCTCGAAAGAAAGAGAGAGAGAGAGAAAAGCTATTCTAAAGTGGTTTTTTTTTCTTTTAATTTCAAGTGGTTACATTTTACAGATAATTTTTGATAAACTAAAATTATAACTTGTCCCTTGGGCCAACTCTTATCAGTATTTTAATTTTAATATGAAAAATATAGATTGATGTATGTCAACTATCTAGAGGTAAGAGTACTCAGATATTTGGTATTTGTCCCACCCTGTGTGAAATTTTATTTTTGAAAGTAATGCATTATATATTGCATATATATTGAAATCTTTGGAGGCTGTCAGGTTGCACTTAATAATTATGTACTCTGGTACCTTCTATATGTAGTTTAGAGTGGATATCAGCCTTTTAAAATGTGATTAATAAGTATTTAGAAATTGTGAAACAACTTTAAGGTCTAGAGGTTTGCTACTAGACACTGAAACTGCATGACGAGTATCTGGTGTCTTAACTAATTAGATAGATCTGTTGTATTGGTTTTCTTGTGGGATAGAATAACAGTTAATCATTTTTAGAAGAGTTTTAGATTACTTGCCATAAAATTTGTATGTATCTTAGCTCTTGATACTTTAGGAGCAAAAGTGATGTTTAACTAGTCCCTTCCCTTTAATGTTGCTGTACCTACTTCAGACAGTTGAAAACTTAATCATTATTTCAAGTTCATTTAAGCCTAGAATAGTTAGCTTTTGTTTGCACAGTAACCTGTACTCAAACTCTTAATTAAATGTAGGAGGTTTTACTTTAAAACACAAAATGGTTACATAAATTACATCTTGTTTTAAGTCACCAAAATAAATTCAGTATTTTTTTTAAAAAACCATTCATGATCTCTGAAGACTATAAGATGTAATGTAAAAAGAATAACAGTTTTAATTTCCTAAAAATTAAAAATGTACTTGAAAGTCTCAGATAATTCACTGGAAATAATAAAGAATATATTTTAATATGTAATATGATCAAGAGTTGGTATAGTAAAGTTATGGGAATGTTACAGTGGAAGAGAATAACTTGGTCAGAAAAAACAGTAGCTTACAGAGATGAGGCTGTGTGGTGCTCTGTGTCTAGAACAGACACAGGTATCAAAGCTGCTCTACAGATTATTCTAGAGACAAATGGAAATTGAGATTATTGTGAGGGCATATCCAGCCTGTCAAGCAGATATCAATGTTTCACCAATATGACAACCAAATGTACAAAGAAAACCAGACTGCACTGGGAAGTGTTATCTGTTTTAAAAGGGGAAAAAAGTGCTGAAATACTCCAAAAGGAGTTTCAGGTGTATTTGTAATTTTCTTACTCTCAGGAAGAAGAAAAGGGGTCATGAAAACTGCTATTCCAAAACTTAAATTTTCCAATATGGGAAGAATCAGTTGACCACTGTGAAACTAGGAAAAAAACTGGCCCTATCATCTGAATTAACTAGATCAAGGAATAATGGCAGACTTCTCAATTACTGTTAAGGAAATCAAGGTGCAGTGGACTCACAAGAAAGATGCCGTAGACCCCTGGTGTAAAACAGAAAAGTTAAAAGCATAGAAGATTTTATTTTATTTTACTTATTTATTTATTTTTAGAGAGAGAGAGAGAATTTTAATATTTATTTTTTAGTTATCGGCGGACACAACATCTTTGTTTTGTATGTGGTGCTGAGGATCGAACCCGGGCCGCACGCATGCCAGGCGAGCGCACTACCGCTTGAGCCACATCCCCAGCACGAGGATTTTATTTTTATTGAAAACAATTACAGTTAAATAGTCCTTGTTGCATATGATTACAGTGAGGAGGGCAGTGTCCAAAACCAGTATTTTTATGTAGAAATATGCATGAAACTCATGGGGGAAGCTTTTCATACAACACATGCCCAGGTCTCAATCCCATTGGTATCATGAATTTCCCAGGTATTTCCGGTACCCAACTGCAGCAAGCCACTAATTTGAAAGGATCTATGTCCCTGCTAACTTTCAAATTTATGGTTCCAAAAATAATGAAGCTTTGTATTTCTTTCCCTCAGATCCTTTATCTCTACACCCCCGACACACATACAATTTTCATTGAAAATCTGATTGATGAAGTCATTAAATTGTTACCAAGCCTTGACTGGCAAAAGTCCTGATTTTTAAAAGGAAGAAAGTAAATTCTGCAAATGATGAAGTACTGAGTCACTTTGTTTTTTCTGTTTTGTTTTGTTGTTTTTTTTTTTTTTTTTTTTTTTTTTTTTGACAGCTCTGGGGATTGAATCCAAAGCCCAACATGCTTGGCAAGAGCTCAACAAATGAGCTACATCCCTAACCCAAGTGCCCATCACTCTTGATAATATTCTTGGGTGAATCACCAAATGGATGGTTTTTGAGAGAATTTTTTAATATTTATTTTTCAGTTTTCGGTGGACACAACATCTTTATTTTATTTTTATGTGGTGCTGAGGATCGAACCCAGTGCCCCGCGCATGCCAGGCGAGCGCGCTATGGCTTGAGCCACATCCCCAGCCCGGTTTGTGAAATCTTAAAGCATAGGTCACTAGGAGCCATGGGACTATGAAAAGCAAAATTTTGATTTTTGTTTAATCTTTAGTAGAATTTTGAGGTGTCAATGCAATTCTCAAAAGTGTATTTAATAACTAGCTTTCATAGATAATAGATTCAAGTAAGCTGGAAACAGTTTAAACCAAGTTAAGTGGGTTTTCTTACATGGCTTCTTAGAGCTTTTAATATGCTAATGTGCAGATATATTAAATAAGAGGAAAATACAAAACAGTCATACTATACTGTAGAATTGGCCATATTTACCTTTCTCTTGAACTTAAATACTACCAATCAGGAGACAAAGTTAACTTTGAGCTGTCCAAACTGAACTGCAAGAGAAGATGCCTTTTAAACTCATTTTAGTTTTTTGTTTTGGTTCCTTTGTTAGCCTTTTATTAATAATTGGGTATATGGTTTGGAAATCTAAAAATAAGTGACTAGTGTCTTGGTGAAATGAAGCTTTATGGTAAGTGTTTTTCCTTAACCATGATGAAAATATTTACAAATTAATTCTTTTATACTTGTAGGTGAAAAATGAATTAGTGATAACTAATCTTTTACAAGATCATCAAATCTCTTTCATCCTCTATTCCTTTAGAATTAAACTGCAATAGATGATCTTTACAAACATTTTTTCCTGAAGAAATCTGCAAAAAAAAGCTACAAAATATCAATACACTTCTGATATTTTAAACTTCTCCAGTAACTGAAAAATTATTCAAACTTAATTAGCATTATACATGCTAACAGCAGAGAATTTGATGAAAAGCAAATTAGATGAAATTTCCTTAAATATTGAATAAATGTTATGAGTACCAACTATGTACTAAGTGCTAGAGGTAAAAAGACACCATTTTCTCCCCTCTTGGAGCTTCCTTATAGTGTGTTGGGAAATACATCTGTTAATTAGCCCTACAAATTAATAATTTCAAATAAGTGCCATCAGGAAGCATAGAATATATTAAGTTAATACAGTCTATCCTGGGAAGGTTAGAGACTTCCTAAAGATGTGACATTTGAACCGGTGATAGACAAAATTGAACAGTGCAGAAAGGGAAGAGAAGAATAGCACTTGTGTGCTG